ATATTGGGTTCTGGCAGTTGAACCTCAGGTTAACAAAAAAAAAAAACCAGACTCAGGATGTGTATTGTTCTGCTAAAGAATTTATGAACGGCTGATTAAACTTTTCTTGTTTTCCGGCCTCCACTTAGTGCTGTTTATGATGGCCATTTAGAATAGACTTAATTAGAAGTCTTTTGGGGCTTCAATGTTCAATGCGGATCAATGTTGGCCAATTACTAGCTGTGTTACTACCCTGTTCTAGCTTGAGTTGTGTTGATGGAATTTATGACTCTGCTTTATCTCTGAAGCTAACATGTAACTTTTTGAAAAAATTATAGTGACTCTGTGCTCAGTCCGAATCCCCATTCTCATTCTGTTGTTCCTCGGACCTCAATATCGTAACATCACCCTCTCACTCCTAACAAATCTCTTTTTTTTTAAACTAAGGTTTCTAACACCCAGTGATACTCACTTTTAATCTGCAGCTTCTCCTAGCAGTGAACACATCACATCCTGAAGACGCTGGTCGTGCACCAATTACAATGCAAGTGTGACAACCTTGACCAGAGAGGCAGCAAAACAACCAGTGGGTAGCCCTATGGTTAGATTTCCCCTCACTTCCTGTTTAATTGGTAAAATTTTTGCCTTGGTAGAAAGCAGTGGGAAAATCTTCCCACCCAGTGGGCACTCAACTTAAAAAACCTTAATTATCCTTCTCGCCTTCCGCGAGAACGGGATCCTCCCACACATCCACAAGAGTCAAGAACTATTTTTACCTTTTAAGTAGTTTGCAATTACACCTCAGTGTTGAAAGCATCAGAAACCTTCAGTTTCCTGAGCCTCCAGTGTCAGAATGAAACAGTTTCCTTGTACGTTGCCAATATTCCTTAAAAGAGATAAACCACCCCTCCCAATTTCAATCCATCTAAAGACTCAATTATTGTAATTATATACTAGCAAAAGTGTGTCTGTTCAAAAACAGGATGGATGTCTGCAGTCCAATAGTTCCTAGAAGTAAAAATCGAGTGTTCTATTAATATGATAGTACTGGTATGATCGGTGGTGTTAAATGTGTAACCTACAATAAAGTATACTAAGTGGAATATTCCATAGCAGTCATGTAACCCCGCAAAAAAATAGTTTTGTTTTGGATTACAATTTTTTTTTCGTTTTTGGGATTTCGGATCTGAAATTGCATGTTTGTTGGTTAGCATTTGAAGTAAAACTCCAGGAATTTTTGTTCCTTAACACTTGCAGTGGGGCTACTCTGTACTTTGGTATTTTGGGGTTTATATTTATTTTGGGTTTTTCCATGTTAATAAAAAACAAAATATTTTTTAACGTTTTGGATACTCAAATCACAGTAGTCCGTTGTTACTTACCAAATGTTCTTGGAACTGCCCTTTTTTCGCAGCACACCGCTGAATCTTTGAAAAGAAAAAAAACTGCAAGTGCGAGAACAGTGTGCACCTAAACCACCTCATATTATATCACTCACATTCACTAAACACCCCCATCCCCATCGATAAAATAAAAGGTAATCATATACAGGTTAGGCCTATTATTTCTGACTAAAGATTTCCTGCCGCTGACCAATTTTACACTTCTCTCTCCTCTGCAGTATCTTTATTCTTGTAGTAAAGCTCCATCCTGTACTCTTTTGCTCTAATACATTTCAGCCAATGTCCTGTTTCTTGTTCATTTTTCATTGCTGTATCCCTTGTGATCTCTTAATTCTTAATGAGAACTTGATAGAAATTGGCGAGCAGCAGGACGGTTTTGCATCAGCAAGAACAGGCACAGCCTCGGTGAACTACTGGACAAGTTTTATATTAGACCCCTAATGTCACCTATGGTTCCCAAAAAAACTGATCGCATTTCACCAGCTTTTTCTCCGATCAAAGCAGGTGGAGAAATGACAGGCTAAAACCATAAGTGACAGAATACAAGTTGCTTCCGGTTTCAGTGATCGGAGGGAAAATCTGCTGCTGAAAGTGTGCTGATCGCCCTTCAGCTGAGGCGCATACACCCGCCCGTGCAGGTCCTGGGTCAGCATGGGGGACAGCAGAAATTGGACTAGCTGGCAGCGGAGACGGGGGTTACACACTCTCCAGCTACATACAAATGATTGGGTGGCTCTATATCTGCCCAAACCCTTGTATGTGACAGCATGGGGCAGGTTGTAACAAATGGTACCAAGATCACGGCTGCTGCGCCGTTTATATACGTATTGTGGTTCTAAAGTGGTTAAGGCATCCCCCAAGCATGATATTTAAAAGACTTGTATATTTATGTATTTATAGACAGTATGTTGCACTTGAAGTCTCATGAAAAGACCAATTTTTACAGCATTGGTACATGTCCCCCATGGTAGCGCCCAGGTTCCCATGCCTTGTCTTGTACAGCTTTTTGCCTATTATCCCTATAAATGGCCAGAATTTAAAAACTGCATGTAGGAATTCCACAAACACTTGGCGAATCGAACCTGGGAAGATTCGCCTATCCCAAGTGATCAAGAATATTACATTAAAGTCCTTTTACAAACAACAGAAATATCTTACAGAACAGACTCTGGGAATTGTCACATCGTTGCAGGCAGGATATGACTTGGAGCTTTACCAATCCAGCTTACTGTACAATACCTTATTCTACAGAATGATGGAGGAGATGTTTTATTGGCTGAACCGGAGAGCTAGTTTCATCAGATTTGAAGCAAGGAATCAGAATCAGCTTTATTTGGCCAGGTATGTACAACTTACAAGGAATATGCTTCTGGTTTAAAAGATAACTCTCAATGTACTTACACAGAAATACATACAAAATACAGTTACATACATTCATAAAAAGTAATTATAAGCCACCAAAAGGAATTCATCAGTCATTGAAACTTGAGTTCTGTATGGTCTACTTTCTATTTGTAGGAACTTAGGTCCCTTCACTGTCCCTCATGTTTGTTACCCCGGGATGTCTCAGGAGACAGGGACCTTTAGGAAAGGGACCTGATCTGTGCGTTGTTAAGATTGGCACATTTATGAAATGCTGCCTTACTCTGCTGATGTGCAGATGAAGGTTTAACGTGGAGATGCCACCTAAAACAGGATTCAGAATACATGCACAAACACACACACTGGTATATTTTCAATTTTACTGCACACTAAAACAGTATACCTTTAACTCCAGCTTTGCTTAGAGACACTCTTACTGAGGCCTAATTATTTAAAGCCCTCTTTACAGAGATACGTTTACAAAGCTCAGCCAGACAACTCAGGAAGGCAGTCTCATTGTCAGGGCCGGATTTACTCCCCCTGCCGCCCCAAGACCAGGTTCCACAAGTAAAAAAATTTTTTACTGTTTCTTTCTTTATTTTTATCACTTTTTATTTTTCTATTCAATTATTTCTTCTTATTTTTTTTACATTTATTTATTTAATTTTTTTATCAATTTTATTTTTTTTAGATTTTTACTTTTTTATAATTTAACCGGCTCCGTAGTTTGCGGCCGGTGGACACCTTACACCGGAGCCCGCAACTTCCCACAAGGTCACCGCTGCCGCCCTCTGCACTCTGCCGCCCCGAGGCCCGGCCTCGGTGGCCTTGTGGGAAATCCGGGCCTGCTCATTGTGACTTGAGGTAGCAACCCTAATGAGCCCATAAGCAGCACTAAGGCAGTGCTGTACACTCCCTTTTGTAAGAATAAAACAAAATATTCTTTCACTAAAAATCACATCAACATGCAGCTCTGCATGCTGACTTAAAATCATATTACACTCATTAGTTAAACAAACTGGTTTTTCATTTACTGACAAATAGAGTTTATCTACTTCCTGGTCCCCTTTGGCACAAATGATGTAAGTGTCAAAGTGTTGCATCCTGGGAAGGTTACATCAGCAGAGAAATCTCATCTGTAATCTCACGAGATCTCAGGGAAAGGCATTTTCCTTCCCTGAGATGATGTGCATGGTCACATGTCCTAGTCACATGTTTAGGCTAATTTAAAAAAATGTCCCTTAGGATGTTTTAAACAAAAAAAAAGTAGCTTTGGCTTCAATGCTTACCTTTAATCCAGAGATTTCCCTCACAGTACCTCTTCTCAGTCTTTTGGATTGAATGTTGCCCAGTGTCACTCAACCAGGAAGACTGAGAAAAGATCGTGAAGAACACTAAGGCCCTTCCCCTTGCCACAGTACCTCTTCTCAGTCTTTTGGATTGAATGTTGCCCAGTATCACTTAACTAGGAAGACTGAGAAAAGATTGAAGGACACCTTTGACCCTTTCTCTAGTGCAAGCCACCATGTGCTCACAGTGTATTGATGGAGGATGTTCAGAACAGGACACTGTCTCGAGAAGACTTAGAAGGACCCAGCCTGTCATGTGGCCAGCCAGAAGACATCAGTAAAAAGTAGGTAAAAAAAATCCCATACTTCTGAGGGGGGCCCTGAGTTGGGTTTTACGGATCGACTTATCATTAATTTTACAGATCTACAAGAAGAAATTCCTGACATGTCACAATATACAGTAACAGTATAATTTTTAGTTCTTGAGGTCTACTCCACCTACTGTGCCTAGGCTGAAAGAGGCATTCTGGGAAAATTATGTCATCAGTCTGCTGCAGGTTAGAGGAAGCATTTCTTCATTCCCCCTTCCCCAATGATCACTTGTTGGGACTTTAACTTTCTGGCAGCTCACAAAGAGACAGACAAATTAATTTTTTTCAGTAAGAAAGGGAAGAGTTAGAACTTCTTAATGTTACCATTGGTGTTCCACTGTCCCAGTGACAACTACTCCCCACATTTCATATCCTGCTGTCACAGCAACAGGAAGTAAGGTGAAATTTTCCAAACGTTGTCGAAGACAGCAACAAAAATTTGACAAGTGCATGATCTTAGCAAGTCTATTCAATGCATGTGGTACCAGAACTTCTAAAAGTTCAAGATGTGGGTCCAGTTGCATCCTGGGATGACGACCTCGCACTATCTGTTATGTCTTTGCTTAGTACTGGCAATAGTTCTGGGTGTTCTGTGCCTATTGTAAATTTGTTGGGATACACTGAAGAGTGAGACAGCCATGGTCAAAGAGTTTGCTAGGCAGTTTTCCCTTTGAGGTCCACGTGTCTGTTTCAGGGTCATAACAATCAAAAGAGTCAGAATCCTCAATGGCGTTGTTCACAGTCAGGCTCCGACCTCCCGTCACATAGATTTTATTTTGTAGAACAGTAGCTCCGTGGTGCATCCTTCTGTCCTTCATGTCTGCACATTTCACAAATGTGTTCTTTGTCGTGTCATAGGCAATTATTCTCCTTGTGTAACCTGCAATAAACAGCCAAGACTTAAACTTAACACAATGGAATTCTAAAGAAAGCACATTCTTAAGGTGAGGATGTGTTGCCTACTTTCCCAGTAGGACAGGAATCGACAGATTACTTTATTTTAATGGCCTGTGTCAATAGACATTTGTTTAATTCAATTGCTTTCATGTACTGTACATGTCTATGGAAGTGCAAAACCTGCTTGAAGCAGGTCAGAAGGAAGTCAAGCACATGTCAGCTTCAACTATCAATAAATTCTAAATGATCCCAGAAACGTCTCAGACTGATGTCAGACTGATTCCATTGACACAAGCCCAAAGTCTGTTGACACAGGACCTTACTCTTGTTCAGTCTGAAATCCTATTTTTTTAAAAATTATATGTGTTGTCTTCCATGAGCTAACTGGGTATGCACTTGGTTATTGCTCCCAGGGTTCCCCTGCTCTTGATTAACCCACCAACTTGGGGCACAGTTTGTCAAACCCATGGTGGCTCTTCCCTCCAGACCTAAAAGCTGCAATTCCCTCTCAGTTTTTCCCTCTGCACACCATTCCCAACATGACAAAATATAAAGTAACAGTATAATTTGCAGTTCTTGAGCTCTACTCCACCTACTGTGCCTAGGCTGAAAAATACACTCCAAGAAAATTATGTCATCAGTTTTTCATTCCCCTTCCCCAATCATCACTCACCGGGACTTTAACTTTCTAGCAGCTTACTATGTAACAGAAAAGGGCAAATAAAACACCCGCTGTGCACATTATTAAAGGGTTCCTACTCTACTTTCTTGTGTTTTCTAAATTTTATCTTACCACAAATGCAACAGGAGGAGCTAGAACACACAATGGTGGGGTGGGAACACCCAAAACTCCCAGGTGGACAGAAAAAGGGGAAGGAATTATGGCTGGAAGATCTCACTTTTGGAGTATCCAAGACATGAAAGAAGTCTCCACCCAAGATAAAATATTACTTTAAGTAATATTCTCCCCCAGGGGTGGGAGAATTATATGGAATTCAGGAGGCAGTCTGTCCATTTTTTAGGAGCCAGCTCCATTAACAACAACTATATAAATCTCAAAAGTTAGGTGCCAGCGCCGGCATTGGCTACCTGGCCCTGCTTTGACCCTTTAACAATCTCAGTGCTGTCTAATCTAGAAGTGGGCAACTGGGCAGGCCAAGTTTGCTCTGCTGGTTTCCAGCTACAATTCCCAGCAGCATTACAGTCCATATCTCAGTGATGTAGGTATTACCCTTAGTGAATACTGAAAATGCATATGAAAATGTTGAACTCATGAACTTACCTCCAATTATTATAATCCTATCACCGATTACTACCGCTGGAGCACAGACATTCTTCACCACCCTGGTCTCCATCCTGAACCATGTGTTCCTTGCAATGTGGTAAACCTGTTGGATGAAATTTACTTTAGTAAGCTTAGTAAAATCTCCATAAAAGTAACAAGAGAACTGTGTAGGGAGGCCAGAAGCCTCTCGGCACAGATACTGGATAAGTGTACTCCTCTCTCAAGCCTTGCTTTCTCCCTCTATGGACTTCTCAGCACAAGTCCTAGATGGGATTTTTGAGGTTCTCTGCTTACAGAACATTGTAGAGTACAGTGGCTCAATTCTCGCTGCTCCGCACATAGCACTGTCTCTCTAGACTTGGTCTACAGCACACTTCTATGTGCCAGTGAGCAGAGTCTGGCCACAGCTACACCGTTTTCAGCTTTACACAGCTCTGCCACACAGGGCAGAAGACTTGAGCTTTAGCTGCCGCAGTTCAGTTATACTTAGAGGTCTAGTCCCTCCCATACCACTGTGCTGGGTAGTGAAAAAAGAAGTAGCAGACTGATGAGTTCCTCTGCTATTCTGCCCTTCCCTTTTATCAACATTCTCTTTAGACTGCAGCACAAGTAACTGGCTCCTTGAGCTGCTTCTCCTTCCCCCTCTCTGAGCACTGCTGTATAAAAACTGTCAGAGACTTGCATTTATAAACACATATAGTGATGTATTAATGAAATCAAAGCTGTATTAATGTGTATCTTTAATGTCTGCCTAGGGTTCAACTTTAATCATTTGTAAAAGATAGTTAGAAAGGTAGTAATAGACAGTTACAGCTTGCAATGCCAATATGCAGTTTCTAGAGTGAGTGAGACACTTTCTTGTATGGAGGGGAATTTATAGGTCAGTTTTAGGCAATGTCTCACAAAAAGGATGTGTGAATGTAGCCTTTAAAGGAGAACTATGGGGTTAAGGCTTTTCCCCATAGTTCTCCTTAGAGTAACGGGAGGACACAAACTAGCATCCTTCTGTCACCCTAGCCTCAGTATACCGCGAGCTGTAGCTCGCGGTATACTGAGACGCCGCAGTATACCGCGAACTGCTGCTCGCGGTATACTAAGACGCCGCAGCTGAAGCGGATCCCGACAATTATGCCGGGATCTGCCCAGCTGCGTGAGTGACAGCTGGCTCTGCCTATCTAGAGGCAGAGCCAGCTGTACCTGCCCCCTCCCCCGTCCGTTCCGCCAGTCAGCGCTGGCAGATCGGAGAGGGGAGGGGGGAATCCAGCCCCTATGTGTTCGCTCACCTCCCGATCTACTGAGCCGACCTGTGACAGTCTCAGTGTCACAGGTCGGCTAGAACTATGAGGTGAGTGAAAAGCACTCAGCTCATAGTTCTCATTTAAATCCATAAATATGGTGAAGAGAGCTGACACTCGTAGGAATACTCTTAATGATGTCTCTTTATTGAAAAGACATAAAAGCAACTGCAAGGATTTCTAACATGTTTCAGTCCAAATGGTCCAAATAGGAAACGCAAAGAACCTTTCGTCCTCTCCTGTTCCAGAACTGTCATTCCTTGGCTGCTGTGGCCTGGGAAGAAGCTAATCAGGCATGATCTGTGCTTGATTAGCTTAAACTGAGTGCATCAATGACATTAGGGGGTCTAACACCCCGTTTGCACTGGAGCGTCTGGGAACACACGTCACTTTTGTGCATTTTTTCCCGCTACATTTGTTATACGTCCCAATTATTTTCCATGGGTGGCACACAGGTGGAGTAGAAGCAGAAAAGCAGTTCTTGGACTACACTTATGTTTTTACTTCCTCAGCATTTTGCCAATTTCCATTGTCATTTGTGTTCATTACCAGCATCGAACCTGTTGAATGAAAAGGTTGCAGTGTATGTGTGTAGAATGTACAGGGATATGAAGGAGCTGGACGAATACTCGCATCTTGCCTGAACAGGAGAACAATTGTTACTTACTTCCAAGAATTTGAATTAGCTATAAATGTGCAGCAATGCATGTACTGTACATATTGTTCTAGCACTGTAATGCTGAAGGCAAAACACCCACACGGCACAGTAAATATGGGGGCGAGATTATAGTATATCTAAAGCCAAAACTTTTTTTTTTTTCATTTTAGATATTGATAGGATGGTTAAATCGCCTGTCTGGATTTTTTTTTTGCCTTCTGCGTTCCACTGGGGAGAATTCTTTTCACTTCCTTTCATATAGACTCAAAAGGAAGTGTGAAGAACCCTCTCCAAACCAAGGAAAAATGCCCTGTAAAGCCGGGTATACTTGGGTCTATTTTGTTCGTTCAACCCGTGGGCTGAATGAAAGAAACAGATTCCTCCATCATATACATATACAGTACTCCGCTGTTCTTGGCGGCTGCTGTCAGAATACCCAAATGGAGCTAGTAGCTAATTGGCTGCCAGATCCATTTGGCTGAGAATTTTCCAACCGTATCCTTTGATCTGCTGATTAAGGGATGTCGGGCAGAAAGCTACCTACAGTGGCACCTTTGTAGTGAATTTCGATCGGTTCATCAAGAATCAAACGAAATTCGAAGCATGTATACTCGACTTTAGACAGTTGTCACTGAAATAGATGTCCACATTGGGAGAGAGAGAGAGTTAGTGGGAGAGAGAGAGAAGGGGAGAGATAGGGGGCGGGAGAGAGAGAGAGAGAGAAAGAGAGAATGAAGGAGACAGGGGAGGAGAGAGAGAGAGAGGGAGGAGAGAGAGAGAAGGGGAGAGGAGGGGAGAGAGAGAGGGAGGGAGGGAGCGAGAGAGAGAGAGAGAGAAGGCATAAAAGCAACTGCAAAGATTGCTGACATGTTTCAGCCCATAAATGGTCCATATAGGAAACACAAAGAACCTTTCGCCATCTCCAGTTTCAGAACTGGCATTCCTTGGCATTCCTTGGCATTCCTTGGCTGCTGTGGCCTGGGAAGAAGCTAATCAGGCATGATCTGTGCTTCATTAGCTTCATTTTAGTGCATCAATGACATTAAGGGGGTCTAATACCCCATTCACACCTAGGTGTACCGGGAATGTGCATTGTATTCTCACATGTTTTTTTTCCCACATTTCCTCCATTTTTAGCAAAAAGCTGAATGTGCAAATTCTCTGTGTAAATGTCTACAGTCTGGTAATGCTGCTGCTATATTGGGAGGCAATGGTGTAGTCTGCAACAGAAAGTAATGTTACCGGCAAAACTTCCAGGTAAGAAATCTGTAACAGATTCCCAAATCTTGTGGCGCATACAGTGAAAGCTTTGCAATTGCATGCCCCTGTGAAACAGCTAAAAACTATGCTACACCCAATTGTTTATAGGCAATGCTTTAAACACCTTTACAGATCGTCAATTGAGAGTTAACCGTGAATAATGGATCTAGAATTATTGCTTAGCATGCGTGGCGATACCTAACATGTGTGTACCTAACAATTGTTTTCTTATGTAGGTGCACCCAATGTGTGTTTGTGTTAAAGTGCCCATACACTGGCCGAAATTCGCACAGTATGTGTGGGGCTGTTGGGTTCCTTTCAGAAGGCATTCCTCGATCAGCTGCTCGAAGGAGCCGGCTGGAAAATCTTTGTACGATCAGAGCCGGCAGCCAATGAGCTTCCCGCTCTGATCGGGTATTCTGACAAATGTTGGCGGCACCTGTCATAATACAATGCAAACAGCAGCAATTGCTCAATCGTCACGCTGTTTGTGTTGATGGAGGAATCTCTTCAATTTTTTTCGTTCAGCCCGCAGGTTGAACGAAAAAAACTGATAGGTGTATGGCCAGTCTTAGTATGTGTGTGTACATGGGGGGACTTCAACTAATTTTTTGGGTGTTTTTCAATTTATTTTACTTTACTTTTTTATAATTTTTCTAACTTTATTGCTATTACATAGCAGGGTTAACAAGCCCCTCATAAGGTGGGGGACATGTGCAACGGCCGGTGGAAGTGATCGGGCAGCTGTAAAGTGATCAATTGGCTTTACACATGTAAACAGGCTATCACTGCCGGGAGTCTGCTTTACAGGGTCCCACTGCTGCTGACATACATTGGCTGTAGTGAAAGGGTCAAAGTTATATTTTCATCAATAATCTGCCTGGACACATTACATTACCCCATGGAAGTATTAAAAATGCTGGAGTATGTTACTGACGCTCATAGAACTAAGGTTCTTGGGTGAGTGGCGAAATGTCTTCATAATTACAGAACAAATCCTGCTGAGCGTGCCTAGCTACTACTAGATATATCATGGCCAAGACAAATGAGACATCAATTTACCTGTATAAGCCGAACAGGATTCTGCATGACGTCCTCTCCACCAAAGAGGTAGATTCTTTGGTCTTTGGCAGCTACAGCCGGATGAAGGACAGCAACTGGCATGCTGGCCATGGTCTCCCATGTATTATAAATGCTATCAAACCTTTCCACTGAGTTGAGTATTTCTCGTTTCTCACCAATTCCCCCAATTGAAAATATATAGTTTATGTATCCAACGCTTCGGTGAGAAAATCTTGGAACAAGCATAGGCTCTCCTTTCCTCCACTGGTTTAATTTGAGAGAAAGAATATACACGCTTGAAGTAACTGTTTTGTCCTTGTTGGCCATAGACAACCCACCAAGCACATAGACACTACCGTGCAGACCAACTGCTGTAGCCTTGTAAAGACGTAGCGGTAGCTTGGCTAGCCTAAGCCACTGGTTAGACTTTTCATTGTACAACAAGACATCTCTGGTGGTCTGCTGGCTGTCTTTCCGGCCTCCAACATTTATAAGGAATTCTTGATGAGAAAAGCGTCGTGGGACATGCCACATGGACTTAATGTCTGGAGAAATATTTTGGTTCAAAGAAAATATCACTCTACAGGCAGATTCCAACATGGTTCGGCAAGACAGGGAGGACTGAATAAGGGGGTCATTGGCAATGAACTGGAAAAGAAACATTGGATGAACATATTCAAGTCTGACTTTTGTAAACAATTCTTGCAGGTAGCACTTTCGCTCTTGGACATCGTGTCTGATCCAAGCCATCAGGGTCTCATAGACTTGTTCCTCTTCCCCATAAAGGTCATCATCTCCGAGGTAGTCCAACAATTCCAACGCAGAGAGCTCCTTCAAATCCTCTGATAGGGATACCTCTTTAAAACATTGCAAAGCCATTTGTCTAGCTTTCTCTGTAAGGCTCTTGCAAATAAAAAATTCAGAAAGACAAATCATGCTTAAACAGTTTTGAGGAGTCATTTGGTTCTGGAGGAATTTAGAGCATGTTCCCAGCAATGTATCATATTGGAGTAATGAAGCAGCTTGAATGAGATGGAATGCATTATCAACTGTGATAAGGATATCTCCAGTATAAACATATGTGATTATCCGATGAAATGTGTCTGAACTGATGCCCATTAAAGTCACTCTTTCTTGGATGCTCTCCCTAAAATTGTTGCAGAACATGGCCTTGAAATAGGGGCTACTTGAAGCCAACACATTGCGGTGACATGGAAACTCACAATCATCAGTGCAAATGATAACATCTGTTAATAAACCGGTTTCTCTCAACCTGTTCAGCTCTTTGAGTAAGTCACACGAAAAGTCTTTATCGTGAAAGAGCAGTGAGTTACAAGAATCGCCATCCATATTGAATCTTTGTGACTTTAATTAATACTGAGTAAGCACAGGAATGCATTGGATGTAATTGTAGCCATAGTAGGTGAGATTCTCCAGTTTTAGCCTAGAAAAAAAACAGGTTATAACTCCATTATTTTTTACTGTTTTAAAAACAGATTAAAAAATATATTCAGGGAACTCTATTTTTACTAGACTTTAGCGCAGAACTGTTCTTCCTAATACAACCCTGAAAAATACTTAGGGTTGACCTGTCCATCTTCTCCGCTACCCATGTATTTCCCTTATCATATCTCTTTTCATCTCTCACTCCAGCCTGCAAATTCTCTCCAACACAAGGAACTTGCCATTCCTATGAGGGGGGTGAATTTTGGAAAGTTTATTTAGTTATTATTTATTTTTAATGCTGGTTTTATTTACAGCACTAAAAACATGACTGAGGGTCTAATCTCTGACTCCCTGTCAATGCAACAAGAAGAGAGAGGAATCTCCTCCAGCTACAATCTCCTGGACCAACTACAATGAAAACCTGAGAGAGCTTCTTACCCTTCCACACGCTATCCAAAACAAAAATTCAAGTTTTAGGCTGGGCTTTAAAAAGAGCTCCCAAGTCCAAAATGTACTTACCTGATCCATTGTCCCACCGGGTCCCTCTGGGTTGCTAGACCTGTCCTTTTATCCTCTTCTCCTCTGAGCTCCGGCGGCCTAAGGACCACTGATACCATCGCATCTTATGAGGTCCATTGACCTGCATTAGACGGGAGGACATTTTATAGTCGGAAGGGACGAGAGGTGAGTGCTGACCGCCACAGGACTAAGGGTCAGGTGAGTAAAACTGCTAGAATGGAGCTCTTAACCTTTGCAGTGCAGGCGTAGTCCCACCATAAGGGTAAGTTTGTGATTTTCCTAGAGTTCTCCTTTTAAGGAATCGCGAAAGCCGATAAAGAGTATCCCTTAAACTCCAAGCTTTCAGCATGTTAACATGAAATGTTCATCCTGTTTAGAGGCCTCGCTAAAAAGAAGCACAGATGGTGGCTATCAAGAGATTACAATGTCTGTAAAGCTGCTGTATGTATACTTTCTTTGGCTGTAAAACAAAGATCCACTTCCTTTTACTAGGTGATGCACTTGTCCAATTTGCTTATCATTATGACTGCAGTAAAACATTTTGTGAGTCAGTTTATGAAATGTTTAGTTTAACTCTCGACTCGAAAGTTATGAAGTTCACGTTTCGCCGTCCACCTTGAAGTGTTAATCTGTTTCTAAAACTTTTCTAAGCGATAGGGGAACTCACTTTTCATTTATTGCATGGTGCTTTGTTTATGAATTACAAATCCTATTAGGCATTGCAAGACTCTGAGAACCACAGGCATGACTCCCAGAGGCAGATGTATGGTGGGATTTGTAGTTGCACCACAGGTGAAGGGCCTACCCCTGATCTAAATTGTACTTTTATTATATTTATTGCATTGACAAGTTTGAGTAAATCCATAAACAAAGCAGCATGTGTAGCCCCTACCACCTTTTGTGAAGTGGCTACTCGAAATTTTGTGTTGCCAGAGCTGTAGTCAGTCTGGCTGAATTATAGTTGGTAGTCTGGTTAATTCCAGGTGTTCTGTCATTGATTGTACCTCCCTGTGGGTGGGGTGTGACCCTGCTGCAGTGTGGGGCAGACAATGGGGGAACATTATGAGTGTGTGTGGCTCAACAGCCAATCACTGGGAGTTTCTTGGCCAGTGGTGCATGATGGGGAAGTGTATATATTCTCAGGGGAATCGCCATCTGCTCAGTCTAGTTCTAGTCTGATTGGAGCTCCAACTTGCCACCAGGCTTGGCCCAGGGGGTGGGGTGCTCAAGTGTGGGAAATGTTGCCTAGGCCTCAAGCCTGGAGGAGGCCTCACATGCTGATTGAGGAGGAGAACCAGAGAAGCTGATGGCTACTGGAGTTGCCTGGTACTGGAATGGACCTCAGGAAAAAGTCTGGGGTCTCCCCTGCTGAAGATCACATGCCTATCCCTGTTCAGCTGTTGCTCTAATACCCAGTGTCAGCGTGGGCTCCTATTGATTCTGCACTGTGGAAGACTAAAAGGCAACTGGTGAGTCTGGACTTCTGTTCTATTTTTGCCCTGGATGTCCTAAGCCCTAAACACTCTCTCCCAATTCTGACGTTTTGCAATAAAGTTCCATCAGCATTATAACTGGTCCCTGGATCTAAGTCTTGTCGGTCACCAGAGAAGGGTGGTAGATGCTATTGGGGCTAAAATCCCTAGACAGGCTATGGTAGACCTATTCATCCAGCGACTCCTTCAGGGGTGAGCACCACACATGCAATAAATTAAAAGTGAGCTCCCCTATCGTTTAGAAAAGTTTGGATACCCCTAATTTAGACAAACATTAATATTTTAGCTCTAAACTCACCCTAGGACAGAGCCTATCCACTAAATGACTCTGGAGGAGCAGTTTTAGGGTTGTGCAGGATACACATAATTAAGAGCATAAATCACGATTGCAACTAGGCCCTTTCTCTTGGCAATCAACACCTTTCACTGACTCTAGGTAACATGAAGAACAGAAAGGCACAACTTGAGAGGTGTTGTAACTAGAGCTATGCCACGATAACAAATCTGTTGATCACCAGTTTGGGAACACTTTCCCAAGTGTCCCTTGCTAACAGTAAGTGAGTAAGTGAGAGATCTTTTTGTCACAGACCATGTGCACAGTGTGCTCTGCTTTGCTATAAGTATATGGTGCAGTAAAGGGCGTAGAAGGCCCAGCCCATGCCATTCTGAAACAGGGATCTCGTAGCAACAGTCACAGCCTTAACCCATGTTTCTACACCAATGGTTATCGGGGTCCTATAAGACCCTGAGTTTAAACCTATGAAATGATACAGTAAGTGTTCCCAAGATCCAAGCACCACCCAATTAAATTTTCAGAAAGCAGGATTGAACAATAGTGAATCATGTGTCAGGACACCACTGTCTCATCTAACTGGAACTTTGTAAAAGCCAACTGATCATGAAACACATTTTATAAAATTCAGATAGCGGTAACTTGAGTGGAAAATGTTTCCTTATCAGAGCTCCAGAGTTTCCTAGATGGCAATTTATTTTAAGTTTTCCTTGGAGATTCATTCTAAGGGTAAACTATGGTGTATTTTTAGAGCGAGATCTTCAACTTTTTATGTTTTAGATTCCATATTTGTGTATGGGGCTGTGCTGAGGTTTACCCTGTAGCTTTAAAATAATTATTTTTGTAGCATATGGAAAATCTCGCCCCCCTCCTAGACAATGTGGGGCATCAGGCAGGTCACATGAATTACAAAGCACAGCCAAGAAGGGCAGCAGCCAGAAGAATACCGTGCACTGTCTGACAGAAGGATCTCCTTTTGTGTAAAACTGTATGTGTGCCTAAGTGTTTGGGTTGGAAAGCTACAGTATTCCAATGAGTTGCTGTGTGACTGGATTCCACCATGGTGGAGACCTAGCTCTACCTACTCAAATGTAGTGGCCAAAATGGCTATTGACGAAATGTAAAGGTGTTAAACAATTTGTAAGATTGTCATCTTCTATTTTTGTGTGTATTGTAGGTCACAGAGGTGCAACTTACTGGATTCATGTGTGTGACAGTGTTAGGCCATAGACCCTAGATACTGCTCTTGTACCAAACTTGCTTTGCTTGAAGTTGTATGAGAGAGCCTCGTGTACATTACAGTATCATTGTTGCTGTGATGAGGCATTCCATTTGGTTTTGGAACCTGCTCATTACAATTGTGTAACAGGCATGAGCAACATAACGAGTTTTCATTTCCTGAAAATCTTGCCTAAAATTGTGAGATTCAGTTGGAATTTTGACATTTTGGAGTCAATGAAGAAAAGCAACTCAATGGGGCTTTAAATGGCTCCTGAGAGTTACTGAAACTGCTTTCAACTATCGAGGCCCTGTTCTTGTGCCAAGAAATGGCCCCTCATAAGCCATATTTGTACTTTTTTTTCATATAAAGAAAACACACAGCATGAAATCGAACTAGAGGTAGATGCCTGCCATTCAGCATGAAGTTTGTATTTCATTTCCTTTTAATGTTTGCATTAAAGAGACCTTGTCAGGTCTGTTTTGAAACTAAAAAAAAAGAGACCTTGTCAGGTATCTAACAATATAAAACGGTCAGCTCCCTGCAATAGAAAACACAGCATACCCACATTCTCTGGTGGCCACTGTCTCCTAACTTCCATCCATTCCAGCAGATGTCTGTTTCCCCAACCCACTTTTCCTAGTTCTGACCCCCTACCTCACCATAGTACACAAGGTTATGTAGGGGGTCTGAAAATGGAAACACAGTACGTGGTGGGGGACACAGGCATCTTAAAACTCCACAAAGTACTGAATGTCAAAGAAGCTTACAGAGGAAAGATAGGAGATATGGGTCACCGGAGTGGTAAGTATACTGTCAGAGTTATTCACAAAAGGGTGAAGAGTTTGGAGAAGGAAGGAGAAGTGAACAATCTAGGCCAAAGTAGCTGATTTGGAAAAGTTCTCCAATTCAGCTCACTTTCCAGTTCAGCCATGTTGTCCTAGATTGTTCACTTCTCCTTAGGGTTGTCACCCGTACGGGATTCACCCGTACAGTCCGGTTTTTGAGTCTTGTGTCTGGGCGTCAGGCCAGTTGACGCCCGGACACAAGGCACTAAGTTCCGTTATCAGCACTTTACATTTTTCTTAGACCTTCAGCTGCAGAGGAGGTCCCGCGCTTCTGCTGAAATGTTGACCCAGCCTCACATCACAGACCTGGAGACAATCAGGATGCTGCCAAGGCACGTAAGGGTTAACAGTGGTGGGTGGGTGTGCTGGTTGACGGCAGAAGCCAGAGGCGGCTGAACCGGAGATCGGATGTTGCTGATGGCGGGGAAACAACTGAGAGCAGGGGGGATCGGGGGAAGATGGATGGAGGGTGAGTACCGAGGCTGACTTTGTGACACTTTGTTTGCACCTGATCGGTGCCCAGGCAACGTTTGTGACCACATTAACTATGTGTAGGCCAGCTCAGTGTATTGCTTATGCATCTGATTAGACTCTCATCAGATGCATAAGCAATACACTGAGCCTAGTCATTAGAGGAACCCGACCCATTAGAGGTAGAAGATGTATTGTCTAGTCCTCTCCAGCACAGATTCCATTCATTACATGATGGAATGTGTAACATTATACCTGTTGCCAGTACTAATCACATCGGGAAGCTGTGGGTTAACCCATACATCACTTCTTCCCTGCCGATCCCCCTAGTGCAGCTCTTCTGCAGAAGTTGTCACGTGTGATGATAATGACATAATACAAATGGCTACTACTGTCAGAATCCAGTTCACTTTAATCGGCTTGCTTTAGGGCTCGTTCACACAGTTGCCGTGCGTTCTGGCTGGATTCTGGCCAGAATGCACTGCCCGCAATGCGGCCGGCTCACTTTTTGGTGGGGCAGGAGGGGGCGTGGTGGGCCATTGAGAGATTTCTATCTGTATAGAGAGAACTGCAGTATGCTGAGAATGGTTTGGTGTGAATGCTGTGTAACATGGTTATTCGTTTAGACATACTGTAGGTATTGCTGGGATGTGTAGTCCTCTGGACCCCTGGTGAGACACCACATAGCCTTCCTGAAAGCCTGCACAGCCCACCCGAGAGCCCGCGGAGTCCCCACCCGAGAGCTTGCGGAGTAACCACCCGAGCGCTGGCGGAGTCCCCACACCCCCCCCCAGCCGCGCGTGATGCTGGAGTGTTCAGGTGTCACCCTAAGAAAGGGTGGCCACCCTACTTCTCCTACCTTCTACAAACTCTTCACCCTTTTGTGAATAGCCCTTTGTGTGTTCTAGATAGCTAAAGGTTTTATATCTTTATAGACATGACAACAGGGTCTCGTGGTAGTAAAATGCTTATGGAACTCTGCAGCATATTTTCAGCTACAAATGTATATTTTCCGAGTAGTTTATTCCGATGGCCTCCGGATACATCACTTCTCTGCCGTGTTCTCTGCACTGGAAATACCAAGAGATTTCAGCACTCTGCCTTTATTTTTCACTGGCTGACTGTTATGTTATTGTTCTATTTATTCAATTCTATCTATTAGCTCCTAGGCCATGTACTAATTAGCACTCTATCGATTCTGCCAGATTGTAGTTGGCAATATGCATTAGTATGTTTGGTTTCACTTAGTTCTTAATAGCAATTACACATTTTATATAATTTGTTTGAGCAGTCAGCACTGAACAATCTATTTTGCACTTAATATTCACCTCAATGATCTGGGTCATGCCAGGGTGGGGGTCATAGTGAACACTCTGGTCATTGGCTGATATGTGGCATACTGTATTATGGGCTGGTTTTTGGGATTTTGAGCCTGGTTTTTTTTTTAAATTGCAGGCCTTTTCTTCCCCCTCTGCCGCACACATGATAAACCTTACTACCTAAATACATTCTACTTACTAAAACTATTAAAGATAGTAGCCCCTTGTCCCTTCCTTGCATGATTTCCCTAGTCTTTGTGTCTTTCTGTGTCCCCTGCTAGTTGGAAATCTGCGCCACATAAAAAAGAAGTCTGTTAGGGCGCTTGTGCAAGATGAGCCACATGACGGAATCGTTGGATGTAAGATGAGCCATATGACGTGATCGGTGGGTGCAAGATGAGCCACATGACGGGATCGTTGGATGTAAGATGAGCCGCATGACGTGATCGGTGGGTGCAAGATGAGCCGCATGACGTGATGAGTGGGTGCAAGGTGAGCCGCATGATGTGATGAGTGGGTGCAAGATAAGCCGCATGACATAATTAGTAGGTGCAAAATGAGCCACATGACATGATCGGTGGGTACAAGGTGAGCAGCATGACATGATCAGTGGGTGCTAGATGTGATCGGTGGGCAAGCAAAGGAGGAGGAAGAAGCCGTCCGACAATGATATCATGAGCCTCATCTCATGTATGCGCTGTACAGCATTACCGTGATTTAACAGATGATTTTTTATCACATGCATGTGCATGACGTCATGTGTCTCATCTAGCATATGTTAAATAAATGTATCTTGCTGCACTCCTTAATGGATTCCGTAGATAACCTGTGCATGCTTGGGATCCTTACATCACTAATGCCCAAGAAGACCAGGAAGTAGAAAACAAGAAATTGTTAGCGAAATGAAAATATATTTAACTAATGAATGTAAGATGATTTCATATCAGTATGCAGAGCTGCATGCTGAGGTGGTTTTTAGCCAAAGAGGGTAAAGGTCCACTTTAAGAAGGCTTATATATATGTGTGTGTTAGGGATGTCCTGATACTGGATCGGATCAGTGTGCGAGGGATTCGTCATGGCAACTAGAGCAACGCCGTGTTTCGCCCTGCTCCTTTACCAGCCATGACGGACTTTAAGCTGGGGATCGTGCACCTAGGCTAAGTGGCTTGCAAGATCAAGTATACACTAATTGATGAGCAAGATATCCCTCTTGTGGACAACTATTCATTTGAAGCTCGAATGGAGGTGGATGCTGATTGTAATGGGGCTAAGATATATGCGTATGCATTTGACAAGTACAAAGGAAGGGGTTCTGGGCGCTTAATTCACGAACTGCTGGGGCAGTGGCACAAAGGTGGCATTGCTCCATGATTCCAGGTGTTGTATTTAAATGGTATTACGGTTGATAACAGACTAGATAGTCTACAAGTTGTTCCTTGGAGCTGGAAATCTAACAAGCAAATGGAACAGTCTCTCTACTGGCTAGCTATACAGCAGCTCCCCACTGACCCCATAGAAGACAAGCCCGTCACCCATTTGTTCAGCCCTGGAGAACCCAGGCACCCACCTGCAGGACCCTGGAGAGCCCGGCATCTACCTGTACAGCCCTGGAATGACCCAAACGCAGCCCTGGTGAGACCCAAATGCAGCCCTGGTGAGACCTGCATGCACCCCTGGTAAGCCCAAACGCAGCCCTGGTGAGATCTGCATGTAGCCCTGGTGAGACTCAAACGCAGCCCTGGCGAGATCCAAACGCAGCCCTGGCGAGACCCAAACGCAGCCCTGGCGAGACCCAAACACAGCCCTGGCGAGACGCAAACGCAGCCCTGGCGAGACTCAAAGGCAGCCCTGGTGAGACTCAAAGGCAGCCCTGGTGAGATTGCCCTGTATAATTGCTGTATAATCATGGATTGCTGAGATTTGTATGTGTGTATATACTATATGAATATGTCTGTATATATGTATTTACTGTATGTATATGACAGTATATGTTTATATATTAATGCGAATTTATATGTGCATACTATATAGATATAGATGTGTGTGTGTGTGTGTATATATATATATAAGCTAAATAATCTAATAATAACCAAAAATAAATTTAAAAAATCTCATCAACATGCATTACTTTTCCTTGTACATAGGAACATCCTCTGAAATCAAATCACTTTCTAGATTTTATGTCAGCAATCGGTTATAGACACTAATAGCATTAAATGCAGCAGAACCTATAATCCGTATATGTAACTATGGTACAGCAAGCAGGTTAAAGCCATAAAGATAACTCAGAACTTGTTATGAAAATACATTTGGGGGAATTTACTAAGCCTGGAGCTGACCAATCAGCTACTATCTTCAGTTTGTTCAATTAAGCTTTGAAAATGCAAGCTAGAAACTGATTGGTTGCCATGCACGGCTGCTCCAAATTCCCCTCAAAATGATTGTTTTTCTTTTGAAGGTTATTTTCCATGAAGTACATTTTGTCTGGACCTCTAATATATCACAGGCACAGACCTTGCAGTACAAATACACCCGGGTAACTATCCTATACAGACCTGATGTACCTTGATAAATGCTTCCTCTTGCAGTCTCACCAGCTCCTCGTCGGTGGCGCAGACGCCATGTTCACGCCTCTCCACTTGTCTTCCAGTAACTGTGTTTACTGTGAATTCAACTCCTCAACTCTCAGTGCAGCGGCTTGACAGGCGAGCCGATACTAATATTAGCCATGTGCCGGTGTTATTCTCCGTCACATGTGACTGGCCCTTGGCAGCGAGGTGAGCCCGGGCTCCGGGGCCTTGTTTTTCCAGGAAGTGTTTATAGTGATGAGGATTTGGCCTTACTAGAGAAAACATCTCGATCCTCTTATCCGTCCATGACTCCGACAGGAGAGATCGGTAAACACTGCGCAGTGTTTATGTCACGCAAAGAGCGATGGTTTCGCAAACGTCTCCTCCAGTAACCCGGAGGTACACCCAGAGCACCTTCTACACCCAAGGTGTAATGACCTTACAATAAACTTTAATATGACAAACACCAAAATTGATCAAAACCTTTTATATGATTTTTATTATAGAGCACTGAGTAGTTCAATGTTCCGGGTTTAGCTACAAATGAAAGGTTTGATGTAAAAATGGGTTCTATCAACACATATCATGCACATGTACCATCCCCTCAGTCTGGAGGAACACATTCCACAGCTTTGTATTCTCCTTAATGTAGCAGAGCGATCAGTATTCTGCCGAAATCTCCAGACGTGTCGGATTTTATAGCATCCGCTAAGCTCTTCTTGTACAACTCTACGTATTTTTGTTTGATGGTCTCCAGATCAATCTGAGGGGAATAAAAGAAAAGAATTCCAGTAAGAACTACAAATTGTACTATGGCTAGAACTGGAGGAACAGGACAAGTGTCATTGTTTCCACAAATCAAAAGATTAGTGTTATTGCTAACGCTGCTTAGAAAATGAAGGATCTCATCGGCTGAAATGCACTTCAAGACTATGGGGGCTGTTTACAAACAAGTCACAGAGCCATTGGCCCTGTGAATTTCTGTTGAATGTTCGTTCTGTGCAAATGGACGTTCTTGTATATTTTCTTTTATGAATCTAATGTATTTTCGAATGTCATCTTGTAATACCACATGATGGCCACTAGATAGAGCCGATGAGCATGGGAAAGAAATGCTTTGTCCAAGGCTCCTTACTTACATCCAGTGGCCATAATATAGGATTACATGACATTTGAAAATATATTGAACTTATAGAGAAAATATTACAATAATTTTTTTTTGTGCATCCTTATGCAAAGAACGAACATTCACAGAGTTTCTCAGGGCCACTGGCTCTGCAAATTGTTCATAAATAGACCCCTTAAAATTATTCTTAATGCTGCTTAGAAAATGGAGAATCTGATTTGTTGCAATGAGCTTCAGCCAAAACCGGATAGTGAGTAAGGGTTAGAACCTCACATTTTAATTCTTACAAACTGACTGAAGATGACCGGGGGGGGGGTCACAGGTACAGGAAGTGAGGGAAAATCTCCAGCAGATTTAGGTTGCTGTTTGTTCCTTGGCGTACATGTGACTAATAAGCCAAACGTATCCAGCCAGAAATCAGGCTTTGGCAATTGTCCAAGCAAACCGAAAACCAGCCCCCGTGTCCTAGCAACCAATGACCTGCACAGCACCACCGGATGCTAGAACATAAACAACTAGACCACACAGCATTATTGGTTACTAGAATACTAACGGCTAAGAAACACACCGTCATTGATTGATAGGAAGCAGGCAAGCACACCATAATTAATAATGATGCCGTCTTGCCACCAGCATCTTAGCATCTAATGATGCCGTGTGGTCTACAGAGCGTCATTGGTTGTTAAGACGCCGGCGGCCCCACAGTGACATAGCTGTTATGGTGCAGCTGCCTGCATCCCAGCACCCGATGAAGCTGTACGGCTCAGCCACCAGTTAACCAATGTTGCTCTGTGGGCTTCATTGATTTCTAGGACACAGATGGAGGTTTGGCAGCCAGACAAACAGGGCAAATAATTTGCCTGTCGATGAACTACACACAGCTTGGGTTCGGGTCCAACTCATGGTCAACCCGAAGCGTAACCCAACATGTGACCCTGTTTCCCTCATTTCTTGTCCTGGTGTCACAGGGATAAAAAGTCATAGGAAATCCCCAAACTGGGATCTCAGACAACACGGCTAACAAAAGTTCTCACAGTTTGGCCGGATTTGAGCGTTTATAGTAAGTATACATGGTGAGTCATTATATACATTTTCATAAACAGATTTTTGAACTGGCTTTTTTTCTTGCTTGCTATTTAATATAATAATTATTATTATTATACTGTATCTCAACAGTTTGTTAATTATGTGGTTTGGGATATGTTGGAATGTGATTTCCATTCAGGTCACTAAAGCTTGCCATACACTGTAATGTTTTCTTGCAGGCTGAACAAAGAAAATATAACAGATCCCTCTATCCCGCAGTCTTCATTGTATTCTGACGGTGGCCGCTGTCAGAATACCTGTACAGAGCCGGCAGCTCATTGGCTGCTGGGTCTGTTCGTGGGAAGTTTTTCTGACCTGCTCCTTCGATCAACTTTTCAAGGTATGCCGGCTGAAAGGGTGTTGACAGCGGCACCAATCTGGTTCCCAATTTCAGAGTGATGGTCTCACCTTCCCTAGAGTGAATACAATACTTCTTATTCATTATCTGCATAGGACCTCGATGTACCAGCACTGGTGACTCTGGTGACCTCAAGCCTTGAATTATGGGAGTCGGAGGAAGCGTGCACACATGCCCCATACTGGGATGGTCAGCGCAGAGAATATTTTATTGAAGGAGATAAATCTTGCAGTGGCTATTTCCACAGGAAGAAGGTATTCATCTGTGATGGATGGGGTACTTTAGGTCGATGGGATTCACCCTTTCACACCTGAGCATTCTGATACGTGTATCCTGAAGCGTGACAACGCTGAATACGAAGAATTCCATTCTTTTCGATGGTGTCCATTAACACCTGAGCGTTGTGTTGCTGGTAGCTTAGAAAAGAACGCGTGCTTTTTTGAGGCAGAATTGTGCATTTTTGGTCCCAAAGACTTCCATGGGAGAGCCTGAGAAATGCATGTAACTTGCCTTTTTTGCGTGATTTTTCCGCCTATGAACCGTCTCCACCTAGTAACTAGCTTTGCATTTTGCTAAAATAAAAGTGCTGAAGCCTAAAAACACAGAAACAGGTAATAGACGCACAAGATAAAATCTTCAACATTTCCTAAAAACAATCAGGCTGAAATGTGAGTGGGGGCTTGATCCATGCTGAAGTTCTATTAAATGTTACAAAATAATACCCCTGGCGCCCTCTAGTGTTTTCTCAAGAAATGAATAGCTTAGCACGGTAAAGTCTTCCTAAACATATCTTCTTCAATGACTTCTATCTCAAATTCAATACATAACTATTTTAGGAATGTTGGGTGATCCATTTTCCACCTGGGCTGTTTCTGCATCCGCTGATTTACAGAACAGATACAACCATATATATATATAATAAAGCCGTTTTTACTAAATGGATTTAAATGTGTTCTAACATGGGGTTAAACGGCTGTGAGCAAATGGTCATTGGTTGTGCCCATACTGTATCCAGGCAGAATTTCCCACACTATCAAACACTCTCCTGGTGGGTGGGAGGTAGGGTTGCCACCTTATCTTCAAGCAAAACCCGAACACTCTAGTGCCACGTGGCAGTCTCTTTTTTTCAGAGATTATACAGGAGAGACAACCTCGGAGAGAGAGTGAGGAGAGACAGTCAGGGGAGAGAGTAAGTAGAGACTGCCAGGAGAGAGAGTGAGAAGAGACAGCCAGGAAGATGAGTGGGGAGAGACAGCCAGGAGAGAGAGAGTGAGAAAGGCAGCCGGGAGAAAGAGCAAGGAGACAGCCAGGAGAGAGAGCGGGGGAGACAGTCAGGAGAGAGAGCCAGGAGAATGACCAAGGAGAGACAGCCAGGAGAGAGAGCGGGGGAGACAGCCAGGAGAAAGAGTGGGGAGAGACAGCCAGGAGAAAGAGTGGGGAGAGACAGCCAGGAGAGAGAGTGGGGAGAGACAGCCAGGAGAGAGAGTGAGGAGGAACATCCAGGGGAGAGAGCAAGGGGAGACATTCAGGGGAGAGTGATGAGAGACAGCCAGGTGAGAGAGTGAGGATAGACAGCCAGGAGAGACAACCAGCAGGATAGACAGCCAGGAGAGAGAGTGGGGAGAGACAGCCAGGAGGGAGAGTGAGGAGAGGCAGCCTGGGGAGTGAGAGGAGAGAGAGAAAGGAGAAACAGCCAGGAGGATGAGTGAGGGGAGACAGCTATGGGAGAGAGGGAGGAGAGAGAGGGGAGACAGCCAGGAGAGAGAGCGAGGGGAGAGAGCAAGGAGAGACAGCCAGGGCAGAGAGCAAGGAGAGACAGCCTGGGGAGAGAGCAAGGAGAGACAGCCTGGGGAGAGAGCAAGGAGAGACAGCCAGGGGAGAGAGAGAGGAGAGACAGCCAGGGGAGAGAGAGAGGAGAGACAGCCTGGGGAGAGAGAGGAGAGACCGAGGAGTGACAGAGAGTGAGGAGAGATAGCAAGGAGTGATATCCTGTGTCCCTGATTCAGGACCATACACTGCAGAACTTGGTAAATGGGCCAAAGCACAACGTGTCTGAAAAAGTCACAAATTGTTTGCTGAAATTAATGCTTTTTTGGCATGAGGGACATTAAGGACGATATGAAAAAAAACCCCAACACTCACCCTGGTTCCTCCTGCACCCCCCACAATCCTGGCTTTGAGTGTATTCATTTAGCATTGCCACGTGCGGTAGATTGTAGTGTATGTGTAAGATGGAGAGAGAGATTGTAAATGTTGTACGAACCATCAGAGCCCAGTCACTGCGGAGGTCTACACCCGAACTGTGCAGGAAGGCTGCATACAAGTAGGAACACCAGGACCCCCTGGTTGTTCTGTGCACCTGACATAATGACATCTTGCGTCCGAGCTTCAGCTGGCCTGAAACCTGGGCCCAGCACATACAGGACTTAAAACCCGGACTGCCTGGGTGAATCCCAGACAGGTGTCAACCCTAGTGGGAGGGTGTGAGGGGCAGCAATGAGAGTATACTGTATGTGCCTATAGCATGAGACATTGCCTAGGTGCTGCAAGTAAAATTTTGAGAAACTAATTGTTATTAATCCATAGGACTCAATATACTAGGCCAGGGCTAGACCACCTTGGCACTCCAGCTGGTGTGGAACTACAAGTCCCACGAGGCATTGCAAGACTCTGGAAGCTACAGGCATGACTCGCAGAGATAGAGGCATGGTCGGGTTTGTACTTTCACAGCTGGAGTGCTGAGGTGGCCTACCCCTGTACTAGGCATGACAAAAATCTGTTACCCTACAAAAGAAAATGATTCATCTGTGTGGACCCCCACGTTTACAATAAAGTATTGCCAAAGGTTTGTTGCGTCTTATTGCTTTATCAATATTATCACTGCCATGTGAATGTGTACACAGATCATGAACAGCATGTGGGATCACTTATGTGCCCATTGACTCTTACCTCTGCCCTGGTGACCAGAATTCGGATCAGTGTGGCCTCATCTGTCCCGGCCCCTTTCATGGCTTTGTAAAGTTTCTTGGCAAAGTAGGCTTGACAATCCTTAGTGCATTGAACTGCAAAGAGACCACATATGAACATTATTACATGTCGGTGTACAAAATGCTGTCCGGTTTTGCACTTTTATAAAGAGTTCCTTGTATTGCAACCAATGAACGTACCCGCAAGGGTAAAGGGATGCCAGGGCCAAAGCTTTTCTTACTGCAGCACTGAGCCTGATCAGGTGGTTAGAAGGAAGGCAGACCCTCCCACTTAGCACTTCAGAGATCATCAGAGAAAGTGGCAATAAATCCCAAATAATGTTTTATTATTTCACAAGTGATAACAGGAAAATAACAAAAGGCAGTCGACACGAAGGGCCTAACAATCCCCCTTCATCAGGGCTTCAACACAGCTGCTCCGCCATTGACACAAGCATCGATCCACAGATCATTCGTCTGGTTTTAGATTGATTTACCCAGGAGCTTTACTTTGAGTCCAACTGACAGTTAAAAAAGGTTTGCCCATCTCTGGGCAAACCTAAAATCTACCCTTGCAGTGGGGCTTGCATGGGTTGTGTGCTCATATACTTTATATCTAGGGGCTGAAGTAAAGCCAATTTGCATAGCTGAATTTCCACTCCCCTGGCAGTCAGCACTCATCTCTCTCCCCTCTGCTCTGGCTGGTGGAATGTCCCTCAGCACCCTCACGTCTAATGCGGTTCCTCTGGGAAGAAGAGGCTGTGAGTGCCAGTCTAGCAGCCCAGAGGAAACCGCCGAGAGCGGGGATCAGGTATGTAGATCTGCTTTACTCCAGTCCCTAGACATAATCAAACAATTAACCCTTGCAGTGTGGGTGTGGATGCAAGAGTGTTTTTTGTTTGCCTGGACATGGGCTTTAAAGCCCTGATGAAGAGGGACATGCAAATGACTTGCATGCCTTTTCCTGTGAAATAATGGAACCATAATTTTGGACTCTTAGAACATTTATTCAGTGCTCCTGAAATACATATTCACAATTAAAATGTTAGAGGCGGGTCCCTGTTTTGTGGAGAGCTCTTGAAAACAAGCCATTTGGTTAGGCCAGTGTTTCTGACCCTTTTTTTTTTAGTCACAGCACCCTTTAAAAGTATGGAAAATCTCAAGGCACCCCAGTCTAAAATGTCATAGATTATTAAGGGGGACGCCCCACACAAAAACACACAGAAAAGTGTTCACATCGTAGTGCTCCCTTCAAATCAAGATTTTCCTCCCTCTTCACATCAGAGTCATCCTTTGCATCAGTAGTTCCCCTTCACATCTGAAACCCTCTTTCATATGACAGTACCCACTTTACATCAGGAGCCACCTTCACATCAGTCTTCATTCACCTCCTCTTCACATCACAGTCCCACTACCACAAAACTTTGAGGTCCCCCTGAGGAAGCCTGGTTGAAAAAGCCTGGGTTAAGACAAGGATTCCTGGTTGTGTTGGTTGGGGATCCATGTCCAGCACCTTCCAACTCTCCTTCCAAGCCTTCCACTTAGCAGTTAGTTTGGGAATGTTCAATCAAGGCCAACACCAATATATACAAAGCAGAAGCAGTAAAGAACCTGCAAAACATCCTGTTCCAGTAAACTGGAGTTTCCCTTTAACAAAGCCTGGATGACATCTACCACTGCTGTCAGGAGGTTACCTAGAGTTGTTTTAGACTGAAGATTGAGAAATAAGCACTGATTTGGGTGACCATGGATCTTGGATGCACCTTGTTCTTTACTTCTTGCCTCAGTAGTAATCCTTATAATTCATTATGATTACTATGTTGGGTTGCTGCAGTCCAAAGCATGTCATCATCAGCATGGATTATTGTTATTCTCTCTATAACTGGATAATTTCATGTATTTGGAGTCAGACATGAGTGGGACTCCTCTGGGAATTTCTGGAGAAGGCATTGGGTCAGGAAGGAGTCAGGAAATGCATGAGACTGCTCTGACATATTACCACATCCATTTCCCAAAAAAGAATTGCTGAAACATGTAATATCAGTGTATGGATCACATGTCCCTGCACCTTGTACCGATGATACTTGGTGTTTGTTCAGATTTCCCCTTTTAATTTTGTTTTTAGAATGGAGAGGGGAGGGTTAAAGCTTATAACATGCTTTTATTGCCTTTTGTGACCCTGTTAGGGAGATTTCCCCTTATTTTCTGTCAGGGCCCTAGTAATCGCAAATCTCTCCTATGGGGGACACAGGCAAAAACATTTGAGTAGAGTGAAGGGGTTAAAGCTCCTGGCCATATTTTTACTGCTGCCTGTGCCTTCTTGTGCCTTTAAGACTGCACTAGCCGAAAAGCAGCGTGACTGCCACATAACTGGCATTTTTACGAGGCAGCCATGTATTCCTCTCTTGAAAGTTTTCCTTTAATGGGATGAGTAGGCAACCTTAATGGTATGAAAAGAGAAAGCTCCATTAAAACCCAGTGACCCCATCCTCTTAGATAAGTTCTCTTTACTTTGCATCATCTTCCTGTAGCTGAAAGCTTCCTGTAGCTGAAAACCACACAGAGTCAGATGCTACAATGCCAATCAATGATGAAGAGCTAAGCATCCCTATTTATAGGGGTCGTGATAGAGAAGCTGATCCTAATTTCCAACAAAAGAAAACATAACTCCCTTAAATCATTTCATCTGAACTTATGAGTGAATAAGACTTGACCTGAGACATGAATCATAGCACAAGGAGGGTTGATGGTCAAATGATGTTCAGAATCCCTCCTCTGAGGGTATGAGCAGGGTCACAGAAAGATGGCTATTGAGCCTAATACATAAGGACAACAGCTGAACAAAAGAGTACTGATAGCAGCAGTGTTGGCCAAAAGGAGTGGTTTGCCATTGGGAGCTAGTAAGGGGTAAGAGGGCATAACTGGTAGCAATATGGCTGACAAAGGGGCATGAAGCCGATGGAAGCAGCCAAAGCCAGTGGGAGGAGATATAAGTGTAAATAGGCACAGTGATGGCCAACATAGTGGACTACAAAAAGTAAGGCCTATAACACCCTAACGAGCTGCCGCAAGTTAGAGCGTGGCCAGAGAGCATGGTCAGCTTACCTGATTGTACGGCATCACTTTCTGGATGGGGAATCAGACTTTGCAGCAATTTGGCTAGTGAGAGAGTGAAGCCTCTGATCTGGCTGGTGAGGGATCAATGCCATAGAGTCAGGTCAGTTGTTTCGTTGCCCTCTCCAGAGATTCTGTCATGCGCTGTTTCTGGTTGGCTATTGTGTCAAAGATGTAAGACCGATCAGAGAGGGCAGCAGGGTGACGGGGCAGTTAGAACTAATGGAGAGTGGCTCTTGGAGCAGATAGAACAATGTAGTCATTGCCAAATAGAGCCCAGGATACTTTCCTTGGGTGGCAGAGAAAAAAAGTAATCAATCATTCACAGAAGGTGGGCACATTAGTATAGCCGCAAGGGAAAAGGATGCTGGAAAGATGCAATGATTCACACAGCCTCAAAGTAAAGTGAGAGGGACATTCACTCAAAGGCCTACCACAGGAGTAACCAAACTCCGGCCCTCCAGCTGTGGTGAAACTACAAATCCCATAGTACATCTCTCTCTGGGAGTCATGTCTGTGGCTGTGAGAATCTTGCAATGCCTCATGGGATTTGTAGTTCCACCACAGCTGGAGGGCCGGAGTTTGGCTACCCCCGGCCTACCATGTAAAAAGAACACTTGGTCAGAAGCCTTTACTGCTTCCCACAAGGCTATTTGTGTAAGTTTCCCAGGGAGCAATGCATGATGTCCCCACACTTATACTGTACACTCCAATGCAGACACAGCCTGCTGACAGACTAATCTACTGAATGTAGGCAACAATAAGTGAAATGTTGTGAAGAGAACATACCTATTGTCAGATAAGCAGATTTCAGGTTTCCTGATGTTTCACTTTTAATCACGTCTTCAATGTTTTTGCCATGGAGCTAGAAGGGAAAGGGACCACAAATGTATTCAAAGTGACTATGCCGCTATTTCAAAACTCAAATCCATAGGCATGCCTACAAAGAAAAATGTTAACTCCTAACCCTTCTATTCTCTCACGAGCTACACTGGCTGCAACATCTGTACTTCCAATCCATTCTTAGTACTGTGTTTTGTGAAGAGCTAAAGGGAGATGGGGAGACCTGACACCCATGGGGGTTACATAGTTGTTATGGTTGAATAAAGACACAGGTACATCCAGATCAACGTGTGTGTATGGGTTTGTAGCAGTCAGTAACAGTTCCCATACCCGTGTATATTGTATTCCTTGAGGAAGACATCTATATGTTTTTTGAATGTGCCTATACTCTCAGCTGATACCACTACCTGGGGAAGAGAGTTCCACAACTTTACTTCTCTAACAGTAAAGAATCCCCTACGCAGTTTGAGAATAAATCTCTTTTCTTCCAATCTCTGGTGGGGCCCTCTTGTCTTTTTTAGGAGTAAACAATTTCTTACCAATTTTTCCAACCCCATTTAACATGCGGTATATAAGGATCGGGGCAGACCCAACGGAGGAGGGTCCTTCTCCACAGTGAATAAGTTCAATTTATGTAATCTATACTTATAGCTTATGTCCACCAGCCCCCTCAGTTCATGGACATCCTACCTGTTGATCGGTGCCCAAAACTGAACCGCATACTCAAGGTGGACCTGGATGAGTGTTTTGTTAACGGGGCTTTTTTATGCCTGATAGTCATCGACTTGCTTTGTTAGCTGCAGCTTGGCTTGCATGCTATTGCTTAGTCTGTGGTCTACCAAGACTCCCAAATCTTCTATCTCTGATTTTCCCAGAGGAGCTCCCCCTACTGAAGGGGGGGGGGGTTACTATAGGACCTGCATCAAACTCTGTTTGATGAAAGCCAGCAGGAAATTACTTTACAGCAGAGATAAAGACATAACCACATCTAAAGCTAGAAAAATGATCCTGCTCCCCAGAGTTGAGCTTTAAATTTAAACGCTGGTGTTGATTTGCATTGTAAATTATTTGCACAAAAGAGCAATAAAAATAAACCCTTCAGTCTACCTAGAAAACGGGTGGACAGACGGGTCATGCCACACTTCCTCCATACTCACAATCTCATATGCTTTAAATGTGGCTCTAAGTTGCATGTAGTTTCTTGTTGCCAGGATGACATTGAATTCTGATTCATCGGTACCCCATCGAGCCTGTCCAGCCTAACGGAACAAATATGACGTCAACAGAGATATAATAAACGCCTCTTATGAGTAACAGTTCCCTTCACATCCTAGGAAGTTCAAATTATTATATTTCCAAGAAAATGTAGTGCAGAATAAATTATTATTTTCTTTTTTTGCCTAAAATAACGATACATGCTTGTGTTTAAAATGCCACCTATAGATCTAGAAACGTAAAAGAAATAATTGCATGTAAAAGCGCAGAAAATCAAGTATTTTAAAATGCAGTGTTCTCCCTTTCAATAAATTATTTTATATTGATTTGCAATGTGCAAGAGTTAAACTTCCGCTTTCTATGCCCGTAATCACTACCGCGCTACCTCCACACACCTCCACCTTTAAGGCAATAGAAAGCTCCTTTAAATGGCATACATTGATAGTGTGATGATGTCATTTTAGAGATGTACAGCTATTACTTACTCCATAGAGCCTTTGGGCATCGTCCCCAGCAAGTTTTTCATCAATAGCTAGACCCTCATCCCGGTTTGCCTGCCAAGAAATAAAATGGACGATTAAAAAAGGGCTTTTTTGCATCCCTTACATATTGCTATTAGCCTCATGCACATAAACTGCTTAGACACTTTGTAGGCATTAATCCCTAACGTTTCCCCTTCTGGAATGGACACACGTTTGCCTCCAGTGATGGGCTATTCACCAATCACCAGCACTGTCATGGAGTCGCACGCTTTTCCATACTATGTATTTTCTTCAGTCTGGGTAACTGAACGCAGCATTGGGGGTGATTACACACAGTTGGGTGGGGGCACATTAAAGAAAACCTAAAAAGGTCCCATAGGGTCCCAAGACACAATGTTGTGCTAAAGTAAGCAGCTTTTTGCAAAGCTGTCAATTAGTGGCTGAGGGAGTGTTGTGACTGGGTGCTGCACTGAGTGTACCCACCCACAGATGAGGAAACGGGACCAGGAGCCATTTCTCCATAGGTAGCACATAGCAGTGCCTGGTCGCACAATACAGGAGCTGTACTAAAAAGGAGGACTAAGGGTCAGAAGTATTAGAAAAAGGAGGAGAAGTATTGAAATATCAGAATAAAAGGAGCAGAACTATTGGAAAACTTGACTTTAGAAAAAAATGAAGATCATTTTTTGCACAGGGTAAACTAGTAAGTTCCTAATAATATTATTTTCTAAGTGGCAGGGGGTGAGCTTTAACCTAATACATTACCACTTTCTGAAAAAACAAATCTCCTGAGTTATCTCTCCTACGTGTAAACCTAATGATGCCAAGTGCTTCTGCAATCCAGAGATGTTTTCAGACACTTCCTTCATTATTGCATCAACCATCCCATACAAAGCCCACCCAGAGAGAAGAAGGTTGGGTTCTCCCCATGCATTGAGTGGACCAAAAAGAAGGACAAAGTTCCGTGTGGAGAGAGATATATTCTCCACAGACTCATGGTCAGGTTACATACCATTCCAAAGGTTTATTGCAACCTACCAAGACATAAATACACTATGCTGGGCTCTCCTCCCACTCTTGTTTCTTCGTTTCACTCCATATTTTTTATGGAGAGTAAAAAATGGGGATAGCAAGATCAGCAATAAACTTTTTACGGTAAACTCCATAACAAAGACCAGAGGCCACCACCTAAAATTGGTGGGGAAAAGATTTCAGCACAAGGGGCGTAGGGGGTTCTTCTCAGTTAGAGCGGTTAGGGTCTGGAACTCGTTGCTGCAAGCAGTGATTTCAGCTGAGAGTGTGGAATCGTTCAAAAAACGTTTGGGCGATTTCCTCAGGGACCGTAACATTTGGGGTACAGGTACACATAAGAATAAGATCACACATAACTCAAACACATGTAGATGCACATGCATACACGCAATAGGTTGGACTTGATGGACCTGTGTCTTTATTCAACCTCAAATACTATGTTACTATGTTACTATGATTAAAAAGAACTTGTTGCTTCACAAGCAATAAAAACTTTTAGTGGTAGGTTGCCTTGATCCTATTGGTCATTTTTTAAACCAAAAGTTCGTAAAAGTGGTGGAAATTACTAGAAAATTGGCAAAGTCAAGACCCACCCAACTATTCTGTCCTGGCAGAGGATGCTGGAATGCTCATTCCATTAACCATCACGGGATCTACACTGAGTGGCCAGATTATTATGACCACCCCATCAGTACCTCGTTGGGCCGCCTCGTGACTCCACGAGATGTTGAAAGGTGGTGTGAGGAATCTGACACTGCATGTAAAGGTGGTCATACACTTTACAACCATCGCAAGACCTTGGTCTTGCGATGGTTGTAAAGTAATTTAAAAAACGTACGATCTGCCCATCTTGGACAGGCAGATCGTACTTGCGATCATCGGGCGGGCTTGCGATGACCGCAATGCTGAACGGGCAGTGTGCGCGTGCGCACACTAGCCCAAGCGGCATTGATCTTACGATCATGCTAAAAACCAGCCGAAAATCGTACGATTCTCGGCGGGTTTTCTAGCATGCTCCTTAGACAAAAGACGTGCGACCGTACAGTAAAAATGGTCGCACGGTTGAGGCATAGCCCTCCGCCCATAAAAGAAACGATCAAAGCAGAATTAGAAGCCCCTTTTACGCCCCAAGAAGTAGCGCAGGTAATAAAACAACTAAAACCCGGGAAGAGCCCTGGGCCAGATGGGTTCACGTCCCACTATATTTGTTCCCTTGAATTCCCCCTCCCCCCTTCATGTATATCTAAACGTTTAACGTATTGTATTATACTTGAATACTGTATGTAACCATGCAATTGATAAACACAATAAAAACTTACTTGTGAAAAAAAACAAAAAACGGTTGCACGCCTTCCATACACTTTGCGATTATCGTACGATTGCGGGATTGCGGGAAGTGTGTCTGGGCCGGTGTCTGTGCAAGGAGGAAGACGCCGACCTACTGTGCTGACAGACCCGTCTGGATCTCCTAAATCCCCACACTACTTCTCAGGACTCTGTCCTGCAACCCACTTGGGACAGCTGATTCCTACCACAGCATACTGCCACAGGCAGCCTCTAACCTGCAGGTAACCATTACCTCCATTCACTGTGTCCTATGGCCAGCTGGTGAACTTCCATTAATCATTGCTGGTTGTTTCAAACATTACTATTACTTGCCATGTGACTTTACCTGGATTACAAACACTGCATGTCACGTGCTTATCAGCTTGTTGCTATGTGACTTTACCTGGATTACAAACACCATGTTCCATGCTTATCAGTTTGTTGCCATGTGACTTTACCTGGATTACAAACACTGCATGTTAACTGCTGTTATCAGATTGTTGCTAAATTACTTTACGTGGATTAAAACACTGCTTTTGATTGCCACAACTTAGTCCTTTACTACTTATTCCATGGTGCATTACTGTCTTTAGCTGAGATCCTACCAGACCACGGCCAGTACTTTACAATGCACTGTTGCCCTTCTGTTGTCTTGTACCAGTCTTGCCACTCTCCGTTCCGCCCTAACATTGACTAGTCGCTGACGGCCACAGACCCAGATTTTCGGCTGACAGTCCAGTCTTTAAACACTTTAACAACAGCTGCTCTTGAACATTTAACAAATTCTGCTGTTTTGCTGATACTCGCTCCATGGCTCCGAGCGTCAACAATCATCCCACGTTCAAAGGCTGTGAAATCGCATTGTTTACCCGTATCTTCAGAAAACAAATCACTTCTACTGTCGTGGTAAACAACCTGCTTCCCTATTTATAATGGTCTGGCCCTCTAGCAACTTCAGCGCCAAATTATAGCTAATTATAGCTAATTTGCCTACAAACATCAGGTGGTCATAATAATCTGGCCACTCAGTGTATGTCAACATTATTAGGTGGAGTGATCTCCTTCCGCAGGTGCATGCATTGCTCAAACGCTGGAAGCAGGGAGCCAGGGTCTTATTTTTTGAGGGTTTTTTTTTTAAGCCCATGGTGCATGCATCAAAAACAAACCCCCGTAAACAGAGTGAAGCATGAAATCATACCACACAAATAAGTGCTCAATAGTGCTGGGTTCCACCTTCTAAGAGGAAGGGCCTTCGAATCCCTGAACCCTCTGGGGTGCAAGGCTCCTGACAGGGGCAAGGTACCCTAATCCACCTACGCTGAAACCAGGTGGACACTGATCCTTAGGGACCAGCCCAAAACCAGTCCACCAAGTACTTGGTAAGGGGTTCTCCTGAAGAGAGACCCCCTGGTGGGGAGAGGAAAAAGACTCAATGGCCACAGAAACTTTGTCCAGACATCAGGGCCGATACCCTCCGTCAATCTGTGGGGTTAAAAGCGCTCGTGCATTGAAAAAATCTCTTATAAATAAAGAATTTACAAAAAAAAAGCGCTCGTGCAGATAATAAATCTGATTGAATAAATAAATAAGTGCCAGAGCAAGGCATGAGGGTCTTGGGCCACATGTCATCTCCATACCGGAGTGTTCTTTTTAAGATCTAAAGTTGGGAGTGTATGGCCAAACCAATAGGGATTGTGATGTCATTTTGATGTCAGGGGGTGTCTTGAAAGGTGTTTTGTTTGCATCTGTTTGTCTATATATAGCTTGGTGTTAAATCTGCACATTGTCAATGCTAAGCCTGAAAGCGCTTGTTATTTGACAAGAATCTTAATAACAATAAATTAACATTTTGTGACCCTGAAAGGATTTTTACTGTGCTGTTAACATCTATACACGTTTGCTGCTGTGTGGCTAGACCAACGCACAAGGAAGGGAGATAATCTGGCAAGACTTTGGTGCAATTTTTATTCTGCACTGAGCTGTATGATTCTTCATTATACTGTACAAAAAGAAGTCTGGGACTCCTTAAAAAGAAGAGTTTACAGCAAAATTAGCTGCAGAAACATCTAATTTACATCACTAAGGTTATATGTCCCGCATTGCGCATTTACCGCCTCTCTTACCAAAACAGTGACAAAGCCGACAAATCTAACCACAGCTATTTTAGGTATTGAGCCTGAAATCCTGAGAATAAAAGGAAATATTCCTTATATTACTGGCAATGGGATCTGACTCATCTGTCTGGAGGGATGTTTTAAATAGAATTAATTTCACCATTCTTGTCTTTGTAGGGATTGTCAATGGATGCAAACCACAGGATATTGTTTGTAGGTAAAACAAGCTGGAAAATGCTGCACACACACATTTAAAATTTACATTTTTTTTAAAGGAAGCTAGACTTGTTTGTAGTCATTCTTTTTGTTTAAAAATGTATATAACTGATCTATATATTTTTTTAATTAGCAGTATAAAATCTTCCTGTTTAGAAATTAACATTTTAATTTGAAAAAAGGTGCATCTACAGCACTGGGTTTGCAGAGCATACTGAGCTCTTTAATAAGAAGGCCCAGCAATGGATTAATATGAAATATTAATACACAATGGAAAAAAAAAGAACTGTAACAAAAATAAACATGGTGGAAATAAACATGTTACCAGTAAAGAACTTAGGAAGTACCGGCCGTTCCTGTCGCCCAAGCTGCTGAACACTGCTGTGATGAAATGGAATTGCCAGTAGAAGTCTTTTTAGAAACCAACATTTGCAGGAATGTCTATCTTCTGTGTCCGGCCAACCCCTACATTACTACAGGATGCAGTAGTGTCAGTTCTGCAGAAACTTCAGTTGGTAATTCCTCTTAATCACAGCAGTGTTCAGTGTCATGGGCATCGGGGAAGAGGTAAGTATTTACAGGTAAGGTGTATTTCCACGTGGATTTTAGAAAATCAATTACATCCATTTGCACAAAGCACGCTCCTATTGAACTGTCCCATCAATGTTTGGACAGTTGTGTGATCCAAAGACAATCTGGATTTTCCCTTGTAATATCATGGTGTATGGACAACAATTTAGCCATAACAGACATTTAAAGTGAACCTGACGTGGCCTAAAGCATTTTTTCAACATAAAGAATAGTGTTGCAGTGAAGACATCTTAAGCTATCTGCAAGCACCTGTGTTAGTTTTCATAAATCACCCAGGATGTACATGGGGGCCCTAATGCCTCTATTAAGTCTAATAAATTGCTTGTGAACGCACTAACTCACGCGAGCATGCTGATCCAAAAGCACATGTTGCATGGATATGTGGGCGTGCAGATGCTCAAATGTGTATGCCTAATTCCAGGCTTGGCACCATGCTGAGTTGGGAAGTTGCTAGATGTTCTTCAGCTGTGTATTAGGTGACCAGAACCTGCACCTGTTCCTGTAATCTGCTTAACTGTTGCTAACTCAGCTTACCCTTAGATTTGTCTTTGACTCCGGCTCCGGAAGTGCTCTGCCTTCCTGTTATGACCCGGCCTCGACTCCTTATGCCCTACCTGCTCTCTGCCTCCTTGGCTTCTGATCACCGCCTGTCTCAGACCATGTACCAGCCGTCATGGGTTCCAGTATTCCTGCCAGCTGCTGCCCAATCAGTTTCTCCATGGTTACTCCCCTGCGACCTTGCTCCTTGGTGATCTTCGCTCTACACCAGCAGCTTGCAATCATGCCTTCTGCTAGAAGTAAGCTTCCATGGACTGGACTTTTGGCACCAGTACCACTCTGTGCCCTCTGATTCCCTGTTCTCTACTCCAGGGTTTTTTGAGAGGTACTCTCGTCATCTCTACCCCTAACCAGGTACATGATACTAGTATCCAAGGGGTTCCACATGATCACATAGTACATGTAGCCATAAGCATGTGCCTGGACTTTTGTTAACTTAGAAAAGTTTAGGCCAGGTCAGGTTAACTTGAGGAGCAAAAATCTTTTGGTAGTGCAGGTCATGGAAATAATCCAACATGCCGGCAATTCTCTGCCGTTTGGTATAATTACCTGAAGCAGTGACACCAGAATCTTCTGGAAATATCCGCTGGTATCACTTTTCACATCAGCCTCCAAGTCTCTGTCAAACACTAAGGAAAAATAAGACATATGTCAAAGTGTGAAATAAAAATAGAATTGCTTTGATTCAAAACCAAGAACGTTTTACTTACGCCTTTTGTAGGATTCTTTAATGTTGCGTATTTGCTGGAAAAGAGAGATTGACATATTGAGGATTGTGACAATGATCTATAACTGAATGTATCTGCAGTAATAGAGAATGTTTAATACAATCATTAAATGTCTGGACTAACCCCTGGTAAGATAAACTTGGAGATTAAAGTGAAGAGGAGGGGCAAAGAAACCAAAAAAACCCTCTATTCCCTAATTTTTTTTTTTCCTAATTTTTTGAAGTACAGCGCTCCCTATTTAAGGAGAATTTGTTGGGACTGGTCTACTGACTAAGGCAGGTTAGGGTCATAGGTTTAGCCAATCTAGGAAGTATTCAGAGTCTCAAATGAATAATTTGGGGTTTGGTTAGGTCAAGGGGCAGAGTTTGGGGGTTAGAATAATTATATGCTCCTTGGTTACATCTAGTGGCCAGAATTCAGTATGTTTTCTGACAATTACAATCGTTTTGCAGAAGAACATTCAGTTTTGCCCTATTCAGACAGAACGAAAGGCTCTGTTAACTTTTGATAAATGAGCCCCTTAGTGTTTAAGTGGAACTATGAACAAACTAAAAAAATAACATGTGTCCTATTGGACTGATATAACTGCATTTTTGGAGATGAACTTGGGCCTTACTAATATATGTAACCCTTAGTTTTGCTTTCTAGGACTGCTGGGGGAGCTTGGGACGGATTCTGGAGCTCAGCGTCTCCTCCGTATTCCCCTTTTTTATGCCAGGAAAGCTATTCTTTTATGGTGGTGCAGTCTGTAGGCACCTTTCCCGAGTTGCTGGAATGGCATTGTTAATCAATCACTACCAGTGACGTGAGGTACCTTTAGTTCTGGGTGAGGCATTCCCCAGCCTCACCCCCAGCACGTCCCATGTTGTAAAGCCGACAGTCGGCTCTACAAGTTTAAACAGAGTCCCGGCGGCAAAAGTCGCTGGGAGTCTGTTTAAACAGCCCCGATGCTGGCGACGTACACTGTACGTCGTCAGTCACGAAGGGGTTCACAGACAGTGCTCCGTCCATGACAGGTTACACATCGGGGAGGATTTCCCTGCTCTGTAACCTGTAACAAGCCGATCTGAATGGAGAAAAAGCTGTCAGCTTCAGACTTGAAGCCGACAGTTTTTTCCTCCATAATACTAGGTGAGGCTCTGCCTTACCTGCCTCCCCTGACCGCACGTCCCTGATTACTTCCCTTGTATAAAATCACTTATGAGCAGAGGGGTTGCCCCCAGCTCTTTGGCCGTATCTGGTTGGCCTCTCCTAACACAACTATTGAGGCAACCTAATTTACTTACATCTTTTGATGTTCCTCAATAGCTTTTTTTTCTAGCCCTTCTGTGTGTGTTGCCACCATGTGAGACATATTCATGCTAACTTGTATCATTTTCTGTGTCGAGACAAGTCTTATTATGACTCTTTTTGCACAATGTTGATATTTGTTTTATTTTGGTTTATTGATTTTTTGTTTGTTATTGTTTTGTTTTCTTGTAAAATCAATAAAAAAATCTTTAAAAAACAAAATAATAGCACGTGTAGCAATCTGTCAGTCGCACCGTTTTTGGTTTTCTGAGTCCTCCCTTTAACAGTGTAATTATGTGTTGATCCTGCCAGTAGGTCTATTATTTTTTTTCACTATTATTAACACGGTGACAACGCTGTGGCCCTCCAGCTGTTGTAGAACTACAGGCCCCATGATGCAGTGCAAAACTGACAGTTACAGACATGACTCCCGGAGGCAGAGGCATGTTGGGACTTATAGTTAAAGCACAGCTGGAGGGCTGGAGTTGCCCATCCCTGTCTTAGATGGATATGCAGTTTTCAAGGGATTTAAATATAATACAAAGAAATTAAAGCCTACCTCCAGGTAACACTTTTTAAACCAGTTACAGCAACAGGGTTCTTTTTCTTTAGAAAAAGTTTTAAACTATATACAGTAAACTCCCATTTATCTGGCACCCATGGGGATTGGTAGATGGTGGATAACTGTAGTTTTTTGTTGCTGGAGAGTTACTATTAACTCTCCAGATATTGGCTATTTCAAATTGCCATAGCCAATAGCAGGCTGGTTATTGCATATGCCCACTGCCTGTTGTTTACATTCACTTGCCCGCTGAGGAATCTAGCTGTCGGCCGCAGCATACATTTAGTTGCTCACAAACTTTTTTAGTGTGCACATGTCTATCAAACAACTTGCGAAAAAAATTGAGGACATAATATGTCCTCAATTTTTTTTTCTTTTTGCTGAGAGCTCTGGTTGCTTGAATGCCAGATAATGGGGAGTTTACTGTAAATATATGGTGACTTTTATAAGCACCCCCGATACTGTTATATGGTTTGTCTGAACTCCAGCACACTGGGTCTGTATGTAGATGTGAAGAAAATTATGACTAATAATTAATAACTACTAATATGACTAATGCACTCCCAAGCTGACCTCCCTGTGTGAGATGCACTCCCAAGTCCTGTTGTTACGCACTCCTGAGCCCTGTGCAACACGCATGTTTGAGCCCTGGGCGATACGCACTCCCAAGTACTGCGCCCTTTGTGATATGCACCCCTGAGCCCTGTGTAATACGCACTCCTGAGTCCTGTGCGTTAGGCACTCCTGTGCCCTGTGTCATATGAACTCCTGAGTCCTGTGCGTTAGGCACTCCTGTGCCCTGTGTCACATGCACTCCTGAGTCCTGTGCGTTAGGCACTCCTGTGCCCTGTGTCATATGCACTCCTGAGTCCTGTGCGTTAGGCACTCCTGTGCCCTGTGCGATACACACTCCCAAGCCCTGCGACCTGTGCATTTCTTATTCCTAAGCCCCGTGTTCTCTGTGATATGTACTCTTAATTAAAGCATATTGAGGCATATGTGTACCATGTCTACAGTGAGTGCACATATGCCACACCCACCATTTGTCACATGCGTGGTGGGTGAGTATCTGCACCTATTAACTGACAAAAAAGCCCTGCTCTATTGTAATGCAAAAGCAGATTGATGCAGCTTTGACAGAGGTCAACTGCACTTGTCAGTGAACTCCAAGCGATCTCACAAGCATCTCATACAGATCTCAAATGTTAATAGAATGCATGTGAATGCAAGCTACTTTTGTCCAAAGCTTGTTGGCCAAGGCTCTAGGAAGATGAAAGCAGTTAAGTTGATACTGTACCTGGTTGCTCCTTGTACACAGGACTTGAACCAGCACAGACTCCTTAGTTCCGGCCCCCTTCATTGCTTTTCTCAGCTCTCTAGCGTCAAACTCACAAGGCCGATCCAGCAGCGCTAAGACGGTCTTCTCAAAGTTGCCACTCAGTTCACTCTTTAACACGCCTTCTAAATCCTAGAAAATCAAGAACCATAAAAAAAATCTTAAGGTATTATAATTAATTCCAATGAGATCATGGATTAGAACGATGCTTCCCATAAGAAATGTTTGACCTTTGACATCTTTACATGCTTCCATCCTTTATTTTTCTTTCACAAAGGTTTTATTTGGTTTTTATAATTTTTGTTTTCACATAAAGGTTACAAACAATAAGAGAACAGAAATAGGGCATGCAAGCCCCGCATCAAGGAACACAAATTGAAAGTATGCAGTGATAACATTGTGCAGAGCCCTGCAGACTGTAAAACTAATCAACGAAACAAGTGTCAAAGATCATTATAGGCGTATAAAGAGGGCAGTGCTGTCCAGTTATAGCGGGTAGGACCTAAGATGACATGAAAAGGAGCATCATAGGGGGGGCTTATCAGGTCCGGACCCTGGGTATCATGGAGTAGAGAGCAATGAGGTGAACGGTCCCCTACACCGAGACATCTGGTGCAGATGGTACGGGGGACGTCAAACAGCACAGATCGGTGTAGGGAGAGCAACAGGGGGTTAAAGGAAGAGGGCATGGAAGTAGAGAAGGAGGGAGAGACCGGGAATGGGAAAGAACATCATGGTGCCTGGTGCGCCACAGCTCCTCCATCCTTTATTTTTATGATCATACAGATTCAGATTTGGGAGCAGTCATTTTCCACTAGGGTTCTTTAGAGGTTGCTAAGGGGTTCTTTAGCAGTGGTGGATCGACCTCCCATCTGATAGTGCCTGCATAGTTCCAGGGGCTAACATCATTTGGTAGAGCCAAAGACATTAATGATCTTTTTAGCTATCTGTAAGGGGCATTCTTTCTGCTGACCAACAATTTAGGGTACATTCTTACTCTCATTGAACATATGTCTGTGAAGGTTCTTATTCATCCAGGTCATGGTATATCTGTAAAAAATAAGTCAAGGCAACTGGATTTGCTATATTTTTCTTGAAGACGTGTCACTGGTCATCCAACCAGCTTTCTCAATCCAGAATGACTTGTACAAAAATTATCTGGGAATAAATATGGTGAATGTTGAGTACTCATTGAACATAGTTCCAAAGGGGCACCTCTCTCACTGACCACATTGTAAGGGTGCCTTTCACCCTCGGACTATCAATGTAACTTCTCCCACTCATCACCAATGTAAAGGGACCCTTCACTAATCCCCAATATAAAGAGATTCTTCACGGACTATTAACATACAGGAATACTTTTCCCACTGACCAACCATGTAAGGGGATTCTCCACAGACTATCAATATAAAGGGATACCTTTTCAACTGATTACTAATGTAAATGACTCCTTCACTGAGTATGAATGAAAACGGATAACGTTTCCACTACCACCAACATAAAGGGAACCTTCACTAGGTATCAACGTGAAGGAATTCCTTTCCCAATTACCACAAATGTAAAAAGAACCCTTCAATGACCACCAATGTAAAGGGGCACCTTTCCCACTGACCACCACTGTAAAAAGACCCTTCAATGACCACCAATGTAAGGGGGCATTTCTCCACTGACCACCAATGTAAGAGAGTTTGTATTTGTTTTTTTGGACACCATTTTTCATTTTTATTTTGGGATTATTACTGAAAATTGTTTTACCATATAAAACATGGGGCTTTAAACATGGTCTACATTGGGTGTCATATGCACATTCTTTCTTGTTTTATTTATTAATACATCTACAGCTCATTGATCTAGCTAGCTAACCACTAGCTTCCCTCGGACCTGAAATAGTTTCAAGGATTCCTCAGGGGCAACAAGGTTTGGCAAGGCAGCTGTAGAGGCTCCCGTCTTTGCTAATCGCTGATGATGAAAAAAGCTTTGAATGGACTGTGTCCAGAGATTGGCAGTGAGGTACAAAGGGCAGTAAATCACAATGAATGTGGTGCACTATTTGGCAGAGACCACGGCTGCTGTGCATGTTTAGTATTTCAGGTAAGAGTGGAAAGGATCAAACATCCCATCAGGTTTGTATTGCAGTCTATGCCTCCATAGGGGGGTATTTAAGCCTCACCTAGTTGGAATGTAAAGGAAAATCTACCCGACAGGAGCACAAAATAAAGGATTTAATATTTCCCCACTATATAAAAAAATAATAAAATACAAACACTATCAAGCTTTTAAAAACAAGAATACTCTTTATAATAATTTTTTTAAAACCTTGTTTCATGTATAATTTCTAATTATATGGGGAGCAGCCATATTTTCTCATTACATCATCTACTTGATGTCTACTTTACAACACACACAGGGACCATGGGGAACAAAAGTAGCCCCCCTCCAGAAGGAAGGACAGTGTCAGCACCAATTCAGAGATGATTTGAGGATCTACAGCCGAGTGATACACAAATAAGATTTTTGTTAATAGTTAGGGAACGTGAATGCATTTTTAAGATTTAACTCCTGAGTTGAGTGTCACTTTAAGGTAAATACTGAAATATTAGTTCAGCATATGTACTAAAATAAAATACAAAATACATAAAATACTCTGTACTTTTCCTTTAATTAATTCCCAGAATGCTGTAGCAGTCCATTACTAAGCAAAGTGGGGCTGTAGATTGACCAAACTTGGCAAAATAAATCTTATAATACAAAAAGCTGCAAATCTCCCAAATCTTTTTTTTTTTTTACCCCATGACTGAGCCCCCATTGACATTAGAGAAGAAGGCAAGGATTTGGCGGAGGTTGTGGGGTAAGGATGGGCCCTCTCCGGCCATAGCTCCACGGCCGGAGGTAAGGTGAGGTCACAAGTCTGCCTTGAGCAGTATATTTTGCAATTCTGTTTGGCAATTTTGAACTTAGAATTTGACATCATTGAAGATAACTCTGACCAATATCTCTGGTATAATAAATGACAGTTGCCATACCTTTCCATACATTGACTTGTACTTCAGCTTAAGTTCTTGCCGCTGGTCGGAGGACCTATTCGCCAGCACTTCAATAATAGCTTTTTCATCAGTACCTGTAATACCAAATTAAACATTTACAATACGAAAAAGTTCCCTATAGGTACATAGTCAGGTTGAAAAAAGACAACAGTCCATCAAGTTCAACCTAAAGGTTCAGTATGTGCAAAATTATATTGTGAACCATGTGTGTAAAATTAGCCAAAGCCATACAGAAACTAAGATGTGTAAAGTGTATCTGTAGCCTTTTGATTCTAATTGTTAATACAGAAAAGAGCCCCCGCTATGTTTTTTTTTATTGCTGTTTGTGTCATCACTGGGGAGATTCACCCTGTCTATTTTTTCCTGATTCTTCTGACCAGGACAGAAAGTCATGGAAAAGCTACAATTTTACAGTTGTCACCACGAGCGGAGGGGAATATGTCCAGTGGTGACACCTGTGCTTTCTCCTCTTCCTATACTCAGCTCCATCTAGTGGCCATATTGTAATATTACAACACTACATTCAGAGCAGGAAAAACTCCATCTAGTGGCCATAGTGTAAAATTACAACACTGCATTCGAACTGGGAAAAGCTGTATCTAGTTGCCATAGTTTTCAAATGCAGAGAGAGAGAGAGAGACCCTCACCACTACTTCCTAATCACAGTTCCACTGCTTGGGTTTATTGCAGCTGTTGGCCAAAGAGTTGTCCATACTCCACAGCAAATGCAATCCAAACAAAATAGCCGTACACTGCCAATCTTCACCCAGCACTTCTTTATTTGTAAAATTCAGTCAGCTCCAAACTTATAATCCCTGCCTGCAGGTCGCTCACCTCTAAAGGTTGTAAGCAGCCACCTGTACTAAAAAAAAAAGCTTTGACTTTAGACATATTATAGGTTGTGAATAAGCCAGATTGACAACCAGTTAAAGAGAGCTTATTTCCCTTCAGTCTATAGGGGGCAGTAGGGAGTCAATAACTCATCTGTTCTCCTAAGCTACCTTGCTCTCTACAGCTGGCCACATTTGTTACAATCTGTGTTAGAGGCCAAATAAATTATATTTAATTGAGTTGGACCTAGCACTAAGGGGATTATTCACAAAGCTGCCGACGGCAACCGTGTGAATAACCGACCAGAAGTGAAGTGACCCGAACGCTGTTCAGCTATTTACTTCAGGCTTGTACGGCTGATTTCAGCCGACATCGGCTTGCTGCGGCTGGCTTCAGGTCGGCCGAACATGCTCAGCATGTTCGGCCAACCCGAAGTGCAGAAGGAATTCAACTCAGCCGATCCAACATCTATTATCATAGATGCCGAACAGCAGTGAGTGAATAGCCGAACGCCGCCGAGCGTCATTCGGCTCGGCTATTCTGCTCGGTACTTCTGTGGTCCCAAGCAGAATAGAAAAACAGTTTAAAAAAGTAGAAAAAAAATAGAAAACGATTAGCAGAGCCGGAGGTGATATGAGTCATATCACCTCCGGCTCTGCTAAGCTCTCATTGTAATGCAGGGGGGAGAGCACCCCCCTGAAATGATGGCAGATAGTAGAGGAAGCAATAGCTTCTTTGCTATCTGCAATTTTCTTTTTCAGTATTCTGACATCTGCTGCAATCAGAATTAAAAATAAACAAAAAATAAGCATAGGAATGCATAGCTTGATCGAGCAGAGTAAACCTTTCCATGAGAAAGTGTCTAATAGCGGGAGACTCCCGGGGGGGTCGGGAGAGTAATGACAGATCAGCGTCCCTGGTTACCTGGTAACCAGGGACGCTGATCTGTCTCTGCAATTGGCTACTCAGCTGTTAGTAGCAGGCGGCAGCAGGCTGTCGTCCGGCCAATGGCCGGCCGTTCCGCCAGCTTCGCCTTTCACCTCGGCTCAGTCGAGCCGAGGCATATGCCTTCGGCTCAAGATTTTTGGCAAATCTAATGGATATCGTACAATCACTTTGTGTGTGGCTAGGTTAATGCCTGAGGCTGTGAACTGGCAGCGTCTTCTCCAGCGCTCTCAGTATTCAGTGCAGGAGGCCAAGAAAGCCATTGTTTACACTTACCCAATCCTTTACAGGCCTTTTGCAGTTTCTTAGCATCACGTTCTGCATTAAAATCATTATGGTGCCGAATTGTTGGCTAAAAAAAACATAAAAAAATAAAAAGTTAATTATTCAACTGATTTAAGAAAAAGTAGTATAACATGATTTGATCTGTATTATGAAACCCAAAATATTAGCCGTTTTACCCTTTAAAAATAAGGATGAGCAAAATGTATTGTTTTCAATTTCTCAAAATTTGTGGAAAAATCTGAAAATTTGAGCAGAATGCATTTGGAAGCCAAAATAGACCTAAAAATATATATACATTTTGTCTTAAATTCTTACTGAAAAATAGCAGTGCCTTCCTGTGACTACAGCCTCATTGCGGGAAATGTTAAATTTGCATCATGAGCTCATCTGAATATAAACTAACAGGGTTATTCACAAAAGGGTGAAGGGGTTGGAGAAGGAAGGAGAAGTGAACAATCTAGGACAACATCGCTGAACTGGAAACTGAGCTGAATTGGAGAATTTTTCCAGTTCAGCGATGTTGTCCTAGATTGTTCACTTCTCCGGTCTTCTCCAAACTCTTCACCCTTTTCTGAATAACCCTGTAAGAGAATAAAATGGCCAGTACACCTAATTTACTAAGTTACATCTAATTTACTAAGGTCTAAGTTGCAATAACAACATCGTGCAGAAACAAAAGGAAAAACAAAAATAAAAACACCATTATTTGTTTGGGGGGGTGTTCTTCTGTTTCTGCACAATGCTATTGTTGCAACTTAGACCTTATTAAATTGCAAGGTTTGTAACCTTAAGGGCCTGTTCACACCAGATGCAGTGCGTTCTGGGCCGACTCTGGCCAGAACGCGCTGCCTCGCATTACGGCCGGCTCACTTTTTTTGTGGGGCAGGAGGGAGCGTGGCGGGCCATTGAAGTAAATGGCACCGTAGCCACGCCCTCTGGCCGCAATGCGGTTCTAAGTCAAGGTACATAACCGGAGAGACAGGAACTGGAACAGAAGACAAAAAAAAAATACTAGGGTCACAGGGTAACATGCGATGCCTTGGGGGTCACTGAGTGACATAAGATGTTCTGGAGCTATTGGGAAACACAGGGGGTCACTGAAGACACAGAATATGCTGGAGACACAGGTGTGAAGTGGTCACTGGAACACACAGGGGTTACAGTCTCTGGAGGAACAGGAGTGCTGGGGTATGGTGGAGTCACAGCATTGCAGATGGGTCACAGGAACAAGGACCTCTCAGTGGGACAGGGAACCTATTGCTCATGCAAGGAGTGTGATCACAACAAAGTTTAAATAGAGAGATAGGTTGACAGGCTGGGTGAGGATTGGCTGAGAAGCTGCTATACCAAGCAGCAGGTTAGTCCAGGTGACACCCATAGCTTTCAGTCCTGTGTAGGAACAAGATAGGAACAAAGCACATGTAGAACTAGAAGTAACAGATCACCAGCAAAGCTGATTCATGACACCAAAATGCGTTAGCTACTTTCAGATGAGTTTAATGTAATGAATATGCTTTGGGCTCTTACTTTAAGTGTGGCGCTCTGATTATTTTTCTTCTGGTTCCAGCCTAAAGGACCTCTAGGACCCTTCTGCATATGTGCGCTGCCTGCTAAGTGCAAACACACTACCATTCATCTTCTTCTTCGGTGCTGCATGCAATTGTACCTGTTCTGGGGATCAAGCCCCACCCACCTTCCCATTTAACCTATTTGACTACTTTGAGGTGACTGCTTTGTGTAGGTTGGGGTCGCTAATGGCCAACTCGTACCATGCTGTACATCAAATAGAACAAAGGAGCCAAAGGATCCAGCCGTAGCTTCGGCTCTCTTCGGCCGAAAGAGGACTTCGGTTCAGTCGAACTGAAAGGCTGCTGTACGGGCTTTTCACTATAGCGCGTACAGCAGCTGTAGGCGGCCGAGGAAAGCATATGCTTAGTCTCGACTGAGCCGAAGTGACACCCGAAGCAGGGCAAATGGACGGCCGAAGGTCTTCTGCACTTCCGCACAGCATGTTCAGCTGACCGAAGTGCAGCCGATGTATTGCTGATTTCAGACGATGTACGGCTGAAATCGGCCATACTGAATAGCAGAACATTGTTCTTCACTTCAACAGCTTTGTGAATAAAACCCCCTTAATATTTTAGACACTTTGAAATATATAACTTGTAGAGAACTCAGTGCAGGGCTGGACTAATCCCAGGAGCCAGGTTGCCAATGCTCCTTCAAAATTACAGCTGGCGCAAAACATTTGAGGTTTTCTCCAGTTGTTGTCAATGGAGCTCTGTGAAAAAAACCCAGTTCTCTCCTGGATTGGACAGACTGGTGGCTCCTGTATCTTATATTAATTTGTCCGCCCCTGCCTCGGTGGCAGCCTGACAAAATTATCTCACCGTATTTGCAGAGCACATAGTTGAAGTCAATGTTTATGGAATAATGAACATGATGGGATAATCTTATGCAAACAAGAGTAATAAAGCAACATAGAGGTCTGGTGTCACTGTATGGTTAGGAGTGTACTTCCCCCCCATTTATCTCATCTGACTCAATATGGATATCATTAATACATAACTAGTATAATCCCTGCTGGCGGTAGGTAAACATTCTTATCAGCAAAAACAATGCAGGCTACTGACCCCTCTGGAATATGCTTTGCAAGCTATGAAATAACTGACAACCATGGACAAGTGGGTAAAATCATCTTAGTTAGAAGACTGGGGACAAAAATGAAGAAAACATTTAATTTATTCGTGAAAACTGTATTGTATTTTCCTTTTTTCTTTTCACTAAAAAGTCACAAAAGTTACATTTGATTTTTCTTAACAGAGTGAAAACTCATTTTTCTTTTTTGCTTCTCTGTGCATCTAGAAGCCAAGCTTATATCTTGATGAAACAAATAATTATGCTGTTTCGGATTTGGAGGCAACGAACCTCCAAATCCGAAAGCGCACATTTGAAAAAAAAGAACGTGCCGCGGCCATATTGGCCACCGACGCATTCTGCGCATGAGGGCCGCCATCTTTGTCACTTTGTTTGCCTGAGGAAGGAACTAGTTTGGGTTTGGAAACGTTGCCACACATTGTGAGGCCTTCTGAGATGTTAATAAAGATGGTTTGACATTCTTGAACCTTGGAGTGTAAGTGATCTCTTCATTTACCATCTTGTAAGTGGGGCGTAGGACGTCGGGTGATGACATATGCATGTACAGTAGGGGTGCTGCCATCTTGGGCACAGCAAGATGGCGGTGCCCATACAAAAATTACTTTATGCCTGAATATATATTTTTCGTATATTCGGGCATATATTAAAGTGACATTAAAGTAAAAAAGGTTTTTCCCTGCCCCCCATGTTAATGTCAGTACTTACCTTAAATGATGTTTCTTAATCCAATCTTCTTCTTTCCTGTCCTTTTCATCTGTCCCTCCAGCACTGCGGCGGGTCTTGGATCCAGCGCTGACTGGCACTTCCTGTCCCACGGTGTCTGCATGCGGGTGCACGCGTCCATAGATTTACCTTGTGTCTCTACCTCGCGTCCCAGCCGAAAATGTGATCTGCGCATGCGCCCGCCCCAAGATGCTTTGCAGCCGCCTGAGAATTTTCACATTTTCAGACAGGAGCGCGTGGGGAAGACACAGGTAAGTATTAACCCTTTTCAAAGCATTTTTTTTTTTTTTACACTTTTTGCATATATCTACTGCTTGAGATCAACAGAATTTCATGAATCAGAAAGTTCGTCCGAATCCGAATGCTCATCTCCAGTTATAACAGGAGAGTATATGCTATAAACATGTCCATTAGGCATTCCTGGTATTCATATTCCAGGTTTATCAAAACCCAGAGAAGCATTTGCTTCACTTCATGCTGTATTGTGCTGAGGAGCAGGGCTCACAGCATGTCATGTTTTCACTGGGGTGTGGAGGGACCACTTGTCAGGTTTCCTGATTGTACGGAACGCTTGCTGGGGTACTGAGCACCAACCCAGACAAAAAAAAAAAAAACCTAAAGAAATGTTGTATCCATCCTTTGTGTGTACATATGATATACTGTATGTGTACATATGATTGTTCATGCTGCCCACCTGCTCCATCTGTTACTGAACTGGCAATTGCTAATAACTCTAATATGCGTCCCAGCTGTTTCGCCCTCTGATAAGCCCGGTATCTGCTCAAGAAACCCTCCCTCCTTGATCAAAGTTTTGTTTTACCTGATAATTGGAGCCATAAATGGGTTTGTCATCATATTTAATGTTAACAGGAGCTGGTATTTTACAATTCAGACCATACAAGTGATTAATATCCTATACTTTGCCAATGATAATTAATGAGAGTATTAATCTCACACTCAGGACAGAATTCTATGTGTGTATAGATTAGGAAGCAGGGCCGGCCTTAGGGGTGTGCAAGCTGGGCAGCCGCACAGGGCGCCATGGCAACAAAGGTGCCAGGCGGCCGACACAGCTCGTCCTCGGGGCGGCTTCTCTCCTCCTGACCGCTGGCCATCCGACATGACAGCGCTCCCTCCAATTTATGCTATTCTTGATTCAGCCATTGGCATGTTCTGGAGGCAGGGCGCATGGCGTCATATAACACCGCACATGTTGGGCGCCGCGATCTTGGTGTATATCTAGGTATACACCAAGATGGCCGCATGTAACGTCAGCTCCCCGCCTCCAAGATGGTGGCACGTATTCACAGAACACGCCGGTGGCCAACATGGCCGCCGCACATTCTCAAACAAAATTATTATTATTATGCGCTTAATACATTTTTCGTATATTCGGACATATAGTAATTCATTAATTTTACAAGTAGTCCGGGTTTTGTGTTCTATTTTCTATTTTTACTTTTCTAGATATACGTACTTGAAAAAAAGAGTGTTGGCATGACATACTGACACTTTTTATAGACTCTATTTTAGTTTGACATTTATTGTTTACCTTCTGTTGTTTTATTTGATAAGAATACTTATATTGTACCTACAAGTTTAATACCTTTGAATAAAAGTTGTATTTTCATCATACATTTTAATATATTTTTGTTTGCGGCTTAACAAAATAGGAGTCTTTAAATGGTGCTGATATTGGGGGAAATGGGTGTGGTTACTGGGGGTGTGGCCACTGAGGGGTGTGGTCACTGAGAGGCGCTGTAAAGCTTTCTTGCACAGGGCGCCTAAAGGCCTAAGGCCAGCCCTGTTAGGAAGCCATAACATGAAGAAACTACCAGGTCACTTTCTCCCAGATAGGGAGACCTGATTGTGCTATTGATTGAATGGACCTATGCAGCACACGGACGCACACACCCATTCGTACATATTTACAATTTAGTGCATCTTAGTTGAGCTCACTTTTGACTTATCCTTGCTTTAAAGTTGGGCATTTACCCCCTTTCACTAAAAATCACATCAACATGCAGCTCTGTATGCCGATATAAAATCATCTTGCATTCATTAGTTAAACAAACATATTTTTATTTTACTTACCATTTCCTTTTTTCTACTTCCTGGTCCTCTTTGGCACAAATGTTATAACCGTGCCCAAGCATTGCATCCTGGGAAGGTTACATCAGCAGAGCATTGCTGGCACACTATTATTATACATTTATATAGCTCTGGCATATACCGCAGCGCTGTACAGAAAACACTGAGCCAGTCAGATCAGTTTCTGTACAGAGGAGCTTACACTCTAATGTCCCCCCACAGTCGCACACTATTATTATACATTTATATAGCTCCAGTGGCGGCTCTAGGAACAATATATAGGGGGGGCACATAAGATACCACAGTCAAAAAAGAGAAACATTTTCTCCCGGAAAGGTTTACTTTGCTAGATATAGTAGAGTAAACCTTTCCCTGCTCCGTTTTTTTTTCTGACATTGGCCGCCGTCAGTCAGAAAAAAAAAAAAAAAAGGGATCCTTGTGATGGCGGTGTTCTATCAAAGTTTGTGACTACGTTAGAATGTGTCACCGGTGACGTGGTCACATGTTTTAATGTAATCCCAGTTCAGCCCAGTTTTTTGGCAGTGGAATGTGTGACCGCCAATAGGTGAAGCATTCCAACGCTTTCGACATTTCAGGACCGATCAGCTGTTCCAGGGCAGATCGGTTCTCCTGCACATACGATTTGCGATGCTGATCTGCCCTGGAACTGCTGAGAAAGCGTTGGAATGCTTGACCCAATGGCAGTCACACATTCCACCGCCAAAAAATGGGCTGGATTATGTTAAAATGTGCGATAACATGACCGGTCACACATTCTAACGTAGTCACAAACTTTGATAGAACAGAAGCCCTGTATGTATTCATTTAATCAGAGAAATAGATTATAATAGGGAACAATACAGTGTAACATTCCCCATTATAATCCACTTTTCTAATTGAATGAAACAACAGTACAAATTGCCCCCCCTCGCCCCCCTGTAGCGACGCCACTGTATAGCTCTGACATATACCGCAGTGCTGTACAGAGAACACTGAGCCAGCCAAATCAGTCTCCGTACAGAGAAGCTTACACTCTGAAGACAAAGCCAACCAACAAAATAGCCACACTGGCGACTAACTCATCTAGCCTCCAGCAGACTTCCCACGGATGTCTATCCAGTTAG